TGTAGCTTGACCAACGGCCAGTTCATGAGAACAACAACTGTCAATGTCAGTCCAAAATATCACCTGACCCATACCCAAGATATCACCTGATTGTCACATGCCAAAAATTGGGTTGTTGGAGACCATCATCACAAGGTTGCTTGAACAACAAAAATCATTGAACCATATTGAAACCACCCATCATCCCAATTATGAACTGTCAAGCAGGACCCCAAGATACCCCAAGAGTCCAGTTTTCCCCTACTGAACAATACCAGACTGGTCCACAAGGCCTCTTTTGGAGGATTTGGGAAGTCCCAAAGTTAGAAAGCGCGTGATGTCAAAGATGGTAATCAATCATAAACCCGAAGTCGGTGTTGTACACCATTCATAACTTCATAGCATATCCAAAAATATCCAAATATATCCAAATGGCTATCCAAATGGCAAAGTGGGTCTTGTGCTATTGGACACCCGCCCAGTAGCCTCCGGCATTGCTATTCTGGTAGAGTCTGGTAGAGGATAGTTGAGATCACCCGTATTTTGCTGGTTGATGTTGGTTGAGCAGCTGAGCGCTCCATTTTTACTGCTTCAATAGCCAATGTTTGTTGCTTAAAACTTAAACCCCAATTTCGGATGGCTAGGATCTAGTAATCTAGTAGGGGATTCCATCCGACCAAGTCAAACTCCGGAACAACCGGCGGCTTCTCAGCCACGTCGTTTTTTGTTTTTCTGCCCACGTCACAGCATGGACGCAGGTGCCTCAGCAGTCAGGGGTCATCTGCTCTCCGTTTCCGAGCATCTCCTTTTCCAAAACGGGGGAGGTTCTCAAACTGGGAGACCAAGATCATACAACCTACTGAGTATTGTTGTTTGTGACGGTGAAACCAGTGGTTCGGAGGTAACCCCATTTTGAGAAACGCTCATTTTCGAGATATGGACTACTACATCCTGGAGACTCCACATCCACAAGAAACTCTGACTATTCATGGTGGTACATCCCCCCAAAAATTGTGATAAATCATTAATTTAAAGTCCTTCCAATAAAAAAACACTGGTGGTTTATTAATCCTGAGTTAACATGCTTGAAAAGTAGCATAATTTTCTGCGTATAATTGCAATTTGGGTACCTGCTGCTGCCACCCACCGATGCATCTAACTAGTACCCTGTGGTCATTTAACATAGCAATGACAAATGGTCCGATTTGCATTGATCCTCTTAAACATGGTGATTTTCAATAGCTATGTTAAACTACCCGAGGGTACATGTCAACGGCTTTTTCTTGTCACGCAACGGAAACACATGCGGCCGAAAGGGCCACAGTTTAATGGCGCCCGACGGAAACCGCGGCAGCTTTCAGGTTGCTCCAGTCACTCGGCAATCAAGATCAATCAAGTGGATATTTGGAATAGCCAACATCCCCCAACATGCAATGTTCCTACATGATCTTACATGTTCGTATCACAAAATGATGCCAACAAAATGACCTGGTTTGCTCAGATCAGGTCTGAAATGTTGACAACGCCGACCATGAGCAGCCCCTCACCGCGCCCAGTGAAGCAAATCGCCGGCTGAAAGCCCTGTGACAGCTGGGGCTTTACCACATTTTGGGGTGTGCATCTGGGTGAGTGGCAATTCCATGATATACATAATGATATATATGTTTGTGTTGGGAGTGCGTAGCTATAAAAGAGTTTGACGAATCTTAGAAGATGGGGACCCCTAGATAGATAACTTGGTTTGTAAACCCCATTCACTTTAGTTCTATCCACCATAAATAACCCTACTTAAGCATAATTTGTAGATGCAATTCCACGCTTTTCAGGTCGAACTACAATTGAGCATCCATGTTCTCTCAGGGATCTGCTCTGCTATGCCATGGGACGACACTAGGCGACCCCTGCTCAACCCATGATGGGTTTCCGTCATTTTGATAAGTTCACTCATGATATTTCAAGTTATCATATTTCATCCACAACGATACCCAACAAACCATCCCCAATAGAGGTTTATGGCATTGGGTATACCAAAAAGATACCCCTAGAAATGAGATGATTTAAAAGGAACCCCCCCGGAAAATGACTGGTTCAAAAATGTTAAAAGTGACCTTAAGACATCTTGCCCAGCATATCAGTAGCTTCTCAGGCGAGGCCTCTACCTCGGTGCCAAAGGGATTTGTGATAAAACAAAAGAAAACAACAAACAAACAACATAGACCAACAAAAAACAAACATATACATCCAATCACAATCTATAAATAAACTTCGACTTGCGGATGGTTTAGCCAGAAAAAAATGGCTAATGGTCAGGTCATTGAAGGCCGCTACAAGGCATCATTTGGGAAGGAGTAAAATGCGGGGGTTGGTCATTTGTTCGATAGGAACCGGGACAGGTAATTCCTGCATCACCCTTTTTGCAGGCAATCACAACAAGCATCCAGTCCAAACTCGGGTAGATGAACATCCCAATGTAGACCAAGAAACATTCTGTTCACTTTGAGAATGTTAAGCAGAGTGGTTGTAAGCAAGTCGCCACACCGATGTTTATCCAACCACCTTACAATCGGTGTAATATATATGTATATGTACATGTATGCAGTTTGTACATTTGTTTAAAGAACTATTCTTATTTGATAATACCAAACAAATAGGATGTGTATATATATATATGTGTGTGATAGTTATATCACAATCTTACAAGAACAAAACAGTAACATTTAGGTATGGTCAAAATGAACCAAGAATGGATGCCAAAGAAAAACACACATTTTTGTGTCGGTCGATGGCCCAATTTGGATGAGATCGCCAAGTGGCTTTGAGCCTCCAGGAAACTGGTCAAACCACCTCAGGCAGTAAAGGTCCGCTGACGGGGTTGGGCTCCCTTCTTCGAACAAGGATTACCCGGTGCCTCTGGCGATTCATCCAATGTGAATAGGTAAATCATCAGTGATTGAAAATAGGTAAATCATCAATAAATTCAATAGGATTCAATGGGTAAATCATCTACAATATTATGGTTTTGTTCTTTGCCAGTCTTGATGACCATCATGTACCGGCTTCAGGCTCATGGTGTACCTGAACAATCCTGAACGGCTGCCACAGTGGTTTCTATGGGCTGTGAATATCGCATTATAATTGTCTATCCTATTTATATCTATTTATATCTATTTTTCCACGTTTTCCTACTTCTCTCATTCATCCTATGTATGATTATTTAATATTATTTATGTACTTTCTGCGATGGACGTGTGAAGCCAATCACTTATTGCCATCTTGGATTAGACGGGTGTCCCCTGACATCTTTCCATTCTGCTCATCTACAAGGGTTCGACGACTGAACAGGTTGTGTTCCCAAGATGACTAGAACATCGCAGGCAATCCCTGAAGCAAAGGGCTGATTCCTTTCATGAACGAAGGGTAAACATCATCTATATATATATATATATAATTATAATTGTTTCAAGTAGGACCACGGCTGCGGAAAAAAAACATGCTGTGTATCTTGCCATGTGTTCACCCCTCGGGTGCCAACTTGGGCCGAGAAACCCATAGGCGCACTTCCTCCTCCAGTTACAAAGTCCTGCAAGCCATCTGTGCTGGCCCCACGGCTGGCAACTTCGCGAATGAATGACTGAAAAAAACACCAAAGCTCCCTTTCTATCTCTATAGTCGTTCCCAAAAAGATTGGAACGTGAATTAAGTGAATTGTCATGAATTATCACTCTTTCAATAGGGCTTTTCTTTTCTAAAGTTTACTCCGCAGGGCTTCTAATATCTAATACAGCAGTTCTATAAATTTTCTATAGTTCAAATGCCAGTCTCTGCCGGAATTTTTCTATAGTTCTATAAATTGTCTATAAATACTACAGAATTAGTCTCCATAACTCCACTGCCAGCTCTGCTCAGCACTCGCCTGGCCATAATTGGCGGGCCGCGGGAGCCACACCGGCACCGGCACCAGGCCACCGTAGCTGCTGATGGGGCTGCGTGATCTGCGATTCCAAAGCTATCCAAAAGAGCTGGGATTTATGGATGTGAATCATATATCCAAATATCATCCAAATATAACTATATGATATATATATATATACATATACATATATACATATATATATACATATATATACAATATATATATATATACAGACATATATATATATAGTGAATGGTTTTGATCCATACCCATGCGTTTGAAGATCCAGTCGATGTCTTGCAGGTTGTTTTCGACAGTCGTCAGGAATTGTAGAACGTGATGGAACTGATTGAGGAATGGATATGAAGACATTGGTGGCTGACCTACTTGGTTAATGGTGATTAATGGTGGTTAATGGTGATTAATGATGGTTAATGATGGTAAATGATGATTAATTATCTGCTTGGTGGTTTTTCGCCAGCCCTCTGAAAAATATATGAGTTCGCCAATTGGGATCATGAAATTCCCAACTGAATGGAAAGTCATAAAAGTCATGTTCCAAACCACCAACCAGATATTAGACATTGATTTTCATAATGTGGTCCCAACAATACACCATCCCCAAGTCACCATTTTTGCGGCTTGGATTCCAACCTACCACATTACATGTCTATAAAATTCGAGCATTGAAGGCATTCGGATGGTTTTGACCGCTGGATTACCTTCACCTGCCAGTCCCAGCCTCTTCTTGTTCTTCTTTTTCTTCCTCGGGTGGCCACACGTGGCGATGCTGTCAGGAAAACGATACTGGCGTTCACTGAATAATGACGCTGTTGCTGGAAGAAATGGAGACAAAGGTCGGAAACACACAGGGACTCAATGACTCAACCGTACCAAGATAAGTATATAATATATTATAATGCAAGGGTTGCCACATAGTGATCCCACCACTCTCTACTCATCCCCATCCCCTGATCCAAAAGAGATTCTCGACAGATTCTCGACGCGTTTCACCAAGGTACTTCTTTTTCTCGGACGAGCTGCTACTGTAGCTGCCTTGGTCAAATCTCGCGATTGGACCCGGAGCTAGTGTGGATCCATGAGGGGTACCAGGTAACACAACTGGCTTAAGGTCATTTGGCAGATATGGAATAAGGATAATATGGAAATCTATATATATATGTATATATATATATTATAGACATTTGGAGACGACCCATCTGATTTCAGTTCCCAAAGTTCGAAGCAGAACGAATGGGGCATGAAATTGCCAAGATCTGCCAAGTAGAAATAGGATGTCCCATTCAGCCCATTCCATCCAGTGGTGCCATTGTTTTTCCGCATTTCACCCCGTGCCGATTTCCAGACAAACCCATTGTGCTGTCAAGGAACTGCTGCTTTTTGAGCTGCTACTCCTTTGCTACAGCAATGGCCGTTTGCTAAATGTAAATGTGCATGACAAAACACAGCTATATGATATGTATTTGTGTATGTACTGTTTTTAAAACATGTATATACTGTACTGTATATATATATATAATTATATATACACCATGCTATTGAGCAACAAGAGGAAAGGGAGTGAGTTGGTAGACGTCCTGAATGAATGAATGTACATAGGCAATTAGCCCAAGATATGCAGATTTGGGCTGATGTTTGGGGGTCCAATTACATGGGGTAGTTATAAAAAATATGTATGAACAGTATAATCCGATGTATGGTGACTATATATATATATAAATATATTTGATATATATATAATATATGATTATATATGTTATAATTATTAATGTTGACCCTCTGATGCACGTGCCTCTTGTTTTATGGTCAGTGCACAGCAGAGGGCCATGGATTCAGATTGCCACGATCGCAGTTCCCTGAAATGTGTTCATCGTCATCGTGGAATCGGTGGAATATCGACAGATACTTTCCGATGAAGTACCCGGAGTGGGCCAATCTGGGGTCCATGATTTGGGGGTCCATGATTTAATTTTGAAAGTCTGGATTCAAGCCCGACTCCTCTCAGTGGAACTGGGCCTTCTCTTGTGGGTGGCTACAACCCCCGTGACAAACATTAGCCATGTTAATCCCAAAGCGGTTGAACAATTTGCCGACAGCACGTCACTACAGTTGTGAGTATAAATCTATCATATATACACCTTTCTTTAAAAATAAAAGTTTGAGGTGCAAACGGTAACGGTAACGCAATGAACATGTTGAACCCCATTCACTACAAGTACTACAAGCACTACATGCACTACCAGGCCTACAAGTTCACCGGAAAAACGATTGCATTTTCTCTGGGGAACAGCTTTTGACAGCTCAACTTTATAGAGAGTATAGCATTTGTTTGAGGGGGGCACACAATGCACACAAATCAGGACGGAACATTATATATATATATATATTAATTATTAATGTATTTACTATATATATATGTGTGTGTTATTATTATATATAATATATAATTATATGTATACACAAGTTCGCTGCAAACTGCCGCGAAATTTGCCCATCACCGATCCCGCACATCCTTTGACATGATCAAATCCCTGTGTAGAGCTAGCGCTGAATATAGGTTTCCAATGACAACACACCCTAAAACCCTAACACCCTAACACCCTAAACCCCCCAAAAAAACATGAAAATACGACTAAATCCTGAAAGCCTAAAATCAAAATTGCTGCGTATGGCCAATGATGCCAATGTGTTCGTACATCCTCGGGTGACAAATATATCATATATGGTCTGGGTCTGTTGCTTGGAGGTGGGCAAACGTAGGATTTGGCACAGTTTGAAAAAACCTAGCAGTGACGGTCATGACAGCCAGGCATCCCAATGGCAATGCTCTTCTTCTTGTCATTCTGAGCCTTTGCTCTTGCCAATCGAATGCGCTCCCCCGCCGTGAGCTTTCGTCCTGAGGCACAATTCATTTCTACCTGGGGTGACATGGGGGACAGTCTATCGGTTCAAACACCAGAAATGGGTTTGTTATAGTTTGTCTATGAGGCATTGACCATCATTCACCCTTTTGCTGACATGTTCATAAAGAATTACGGATGCATCTGGCTGGCTCCAGACTTTCAATCTCGAAGTATTGGTGAAATATCCTCAAGTCTGACACTGGTACGATCTCCAAAATATATCGATGCATATTCTCCCCAAATGTTAAGTGACATATACACCAATTTCAATGAAATTTCAATAATCTCCTCGAGTCTGACTATGATAGCCAACTTGTTCAATCTCAACCAGTCTTTGTCGGTGGCTTCACACTGAAGAACAAGTCAGATATGTAATTATGCAAGCATCATCCCAGATAAAAGACGTGGGACGTGGGAGCATCAAAAGTCATTGAAAGCACCAAGCAGTTCACAGCTTTATGAGCAGATGATTCCTTCTGGGATAAAAAAACAAGTCCAATCTTTGGATGCTAAAATATGCCAAATCAATCTACACCACCACTATTTGCTGGTGATGTATACATCCATCCAGGGATGATTTAATAGTTATTAATCATTAATCTGAAATCCAGCCCTGTTCATATATGTCTATACCCACTACTTCCCATACGAGCATTGTTATTTTCATAGCCATGGTTGCAAAGACTATTGATTCTTGGGAAAAGGCTATGTTTTGATCTCCATTTACCCTCTGGTAATTTCACATAACTATGGAAAGTCACCATTGTTCATGAGAATTTTCCCATGAACAATGGTGATTTTCTATGATTTTCTCAGTTATGTGAAATTACCAGAGGCTTTTCCATGGATTTCCATTGATCTCCACTGCCCGGCCCGGCTGGAACCCCGGCTCCTCCCGGCCCCACGGCCGTGACGTCATCCTCCGCGAAATCGGCCGGCGCTTCTATGGTCGGCTTCTCCGCAGCCGACGGCTCGCTGGGGGCTGGGGCAGCTGGGGCAGCTGGGGCCTGGCGTTTTTGGGTGACTTTCTGGGAGTTTCTGGAGTTTTTGAATGCGAATTTTCAATGTGAATTTTTATCTGAATTAGTTGGTGGATTTAAATTGAAGTTGATTGAAGTTCCAAATTCTGAATTGGATTGTGATTTCTGGGAGGTCATTAGTGTGGATTGTCAGTTGGATTGGTTCAGTCTCTGAATGCAATGGTATTTTAATGTTGTGGGGTGGCAATTCAGGTGCCCAGGTGGAAATGATTCTCGGTGTATTTTCTTAAGTCCCAACCATCGGGCGATCAAACATCATTGCCGATCACTTGTCGCTGAATATATCCAATTTGTTGATCAAAATAACTCAATAAGATTCAATGCGTCTCCAATGGCTCCAATAAGATTCAAACGTTGATCAATAAGATTCATTATGAGTCTCCAACGGCTCCAATTCCCCATTTTTTTTCGGGTTTTTTCCCAACATACTGTGGATCTGTGGTATGAATAGTTGGGTACTCAGACTTCAGCCCCGGCCTCCGCAGGCTTAGGTGCATCTGCGGAAGCCTGGAACATCGCCCTTGGGAAAACCATAACCGCCATAACCCGAACATGGGCCTATATGGGCCTTGACTCCAAGAAATGAAAAGCAACTGGTTAGTTATAAGTTATAAAATGTTTAAGATGTTGGAAGTCATATTTAAAATTATTTTAATATATTTAGATATATATATATATATACAATATATACATATATATACAATATATATCAATATATATATATACATGTGTATCGGGATGTGTCGGGGTATCTGATGGGTATCTAGCGAATTCCGAAGCACGAATGCTAACCCAGCTAATCTCAGGGGCAAAGGGTTGCCCTCTGGACCTACCGAGGCAGTCACGTTGATTTGTGGGGGGTCGCTTTTTCGAAAAAACATCTGCTTCGGCAAGTTGTCACCTCATGTCACCTCCACATACTGGCACCATCTGGCACCTTTTTTCGTCAGAGTGCGACCGGGCAGTGCGGCAGAGTCCAGCCTTTTCTTTGTCTTTTTCTTTGTCCTTCTCCTGAGGAAAAAAAAAACGCCATGGATCACATCCTCGAAAACCCTGGGGATCCAACGACCCCAAATGACCAGAAATGAAGAAAAAACTCCAAGAGGACGACGATTGTGGGATTGTGGGATGCTCTCTGTATCCATTGTGAAATTGTAAACTCATGCTTCTTAGTGATCCTAGCTGAATGAGACTCATGTAGCAAGATATTCATGAATGACAGATCCCTTTCGCCTTGTCTTTGTCCTTTTTCTCCTCCCAGATCATGTGGCAAGATGTGAATGATCAGCAGCAAATCAACATCTGCGGAACTGGGCTTTTTGAGGGGCTTGAAGTTCAAGATTGAAGTTCGAAACGGGCCAGAAGATTTCCTCCCACGTCTAGCAAGACGTTCCTCTCTGCTTCAACCGCTGCTCCTTGTCCTTCTTGTCTTTGTCTTTCCCCTGGCTATTTGGCTGGTCAATTGGGATCATCACCATCTTTCACATTGAATCAATCAGGGAATGGACAAGTTGAAAGCAGTTGAAGACTTAAATGCTACCAACAAACATCAACAAACATTCACCTCTTTTTCAGCATAGCAAACCTTTGTTAGGTACACATTGGTAAAGCAACCTGGCAATAAGAACACTTGTGGACATATTGGAACTATTTATGTTACGTTGGCATTCACAAGATCATAACCAACGAACAAGTGTCATTCATTCATCAAATCCCGGCACTGTCTTTCTGTGGGCCCATGTTGGGTCTGAGTCAGTGGATCTTCCCACATGGGGGCAAATTGCACGAAAGGTCGCTTCCACCTTCAAATACTTACATAATTTTACATATATGTACGTGTATATATATATATATATTATATATGTGTGTGTATATGTTGTTCATTGTTTTTCTAAATGTGGCCCCAGGTAGCTGGCACAAACACATTGCTGGACCTGCCTTCTCTTTGTCTTTTCGTTCTCTATCTTTGTCCTTGGTGCTATGGATGTCCGACTTCATTCAGGGCCCTCCGGAAGGGTCAGCGGACATCAACTGTCGATCCGCTGCCCGGTATGGAAAAAAAAAGCCGCTGATCAGGACATTTGAAACCGCTGCGGACCAATGAAACCAAGTAAATGGATGTAAACCCTGATTCCTTTGGGGGCTGCATCACACCCAAACTCGGAACACTGGAACCCCAAAGTCCATGGAGAACATGTTTGTTCAGCTCCTGGGAATCCTTATGTGCCGCCACTGTGTGTGTCCTTGCGCACTACTTTGCAAAGTTCATTCAGGCTCCACGGGCTAGGGTTAGAAATGGCTAGAATCTTGCAGGTGATTCAAATGGCCCATGAGAAATCCAAGGGTCTCGTCCGCGACTTCTGCTGCGGTCTTTCTTCTTGTCTTTGTCCTTATCCTTCTTTTTCTCCTGCGGCTCTCAGGAGGTAGGAGAGGCTAGTCATGGTCGGATGGTAGTGGAGTCAACGGAAGAAGAAATGGAATGCTAGTCACTTTCAATGAGAAGTGGATTCATGGTTGATCATGATTCATGAAATTAAATGATACCAGTACAATATGTAAAATCCTAATATAATCATTACACGAAAAATATACATATACACATGTATAATCATGTATACATACATGATTTATATATTCACCATCTAGGTTCACTGGTTAGAAGCTTTTGCATCTTTTTGCGCACTGCCCAGCGTTCAACATCGACGTATGTTGTTGCTTCAAATGTTCATTGATGTTTTTTTAGTCATATGGAACAATATGCTTTTGTAAAACCATTCAAGACCAGGCATTGCAAAATCAGAATGTAAACTTCCGCCTAACAGATATGTTCAAGGTCTGGAAGATTCGGCGTCCCAAGGCCTGACATGTTTCACCAGGCATATCATACCACATGCCAACTTTCATCCGACATATAACATATATATAACTGGGTTCTTTCATATGGTTACTGCCCACTTTCTAACTATAATATACTATAATAAATTAATGTTATGATAAGTAAATGTTATTACTTATCACATGCAAAAAAAGGTTATGACTTAGTGCCCACACCCATTTTTGTTTCTTTCCCGCCAGTACCCATTGGCAACCAGAAACGGTCCTTGTCTTTGTCTTTCTTTTTTCGATCGGCCGATTCGCTTCTTCCTCAGCCAGCTGGGTCTGGGTCAAAACATACATGGGGTACCTTTGCGAAACCACTTTTTTGGTTCATCTGTAAGATCTGAAACAAGATAAACAAGACATCTTCGGTGTTGACATGCTCTCCAATGCCCAGTTGCAATCACTAACACACAAGAATTCTGCAGTTTGGGCCCACTCGCAACAAATTTCCCAGGAAAAGTAGGACACAAGTGAAACACCAACCAGTAAATGGGTTTGGACCAACCACAAGCGTCCAACCCATTCACCACCAGCTGTCCAGAATTTTACAACGTCAATCCAATTAGTGGGGTTTGCTGCATTTAGTGCCACTGTTCAACCATATATCCACTTACAGCATCTTTTAATCACTTAGAGAGAACTTAGACCCAGTTTCCAAACCACCCACGTTTTTTAAACCCTCAATCCATATGCATAAAAATCTGAATCCAACCCCCAAACCGAAAGGCCAAGCCACGACCCATTCAGCGCAAAACCCCCACGGCCTGCAACTAATCAGCGCCGAGCTTGGGAAGGTCATGTAATTTTGTTTGCAAACAATTACTATTTAAGCGAATCTGGGTCTGTCACATTGTTCACCAATTTTTTGCTGCTACGTACTCCCTACAAGGCACAGCCCCCAGTTATGTTGGTTGGTTTATGTTCAACTGGTTAACTAGTTAGTTAAATCCAGCCGTTACGACAAGGTGAGGCCCCCTCAGTTATAAGTTGGTTTATAATTCATCAACTATGGATATGTCTACACAGGTTCCGTCCAACCCGGACATGTTCCACAACTAAAAATAATCATCATCATCATCATCATTATCTCATCATCGTCATCATCAACAACATCATCATCATAATCATCATCACCATTATCTCATCATCATCATCATCATCATCATCATCATCATCACCATGATCATCGTCATGATCATGATCATGATCATGATCATCAATATCATCAATGCCATCATCATCATCATCATCATCATCATCACGATGATGATGTTCATCACCATCATCACCATGGTCTCGTCACCATGATGATCATCATCATCATCATCACGATCACGATCACGACCATGATCTCATCATCATTATCATGAGGATGATGATGATCATCATCATCATTATCACCAGCGTCAACTCATGTGGAATGGGGTAATACCATGAACCTATATGTCTTATATTCATAAGGGATCATAAATCCGCCACCCCCTATGACAAATATGTTGAATGGTGGAATCACATCAACTTATATATCTTCATAAGGGATCAACAAATCCACCTGACAAATATGTTGAATGGTGTAATCACATCAACTTATCTTCATAAGGGATCAAAATCCACCGCCCCCTCTGACAAATACATTGAATGGGGCAATCACATCAACTCATCTTCATAAGAGATCAAACATCCACCACCCCCTATAACAAAATATGTTAAATGAGGCACTTAATTACTTTTCATAAGAGATCAACAAATCCACCATCCCCTTTGACAAATATGTTGAATAAGGAATAACATCAACATATCTTCATAAGGGATGATGATGATTATTATTATTATGATGATGATGATGACGACGATGACGATGACGATCGCGATGATGGTGATGACGATGACGATGACGATGACGATGATGATGATCATCATCATCATCATAATCATCATCATGATCATGATCATGGATCACATATACATCTACATATTGAAAGTCCACCGACATGGGATTTCAAAAGTACGCAACCCTTCCGCAATTCCGGCGCGGAGCAACGTCAGGGTTGCACCGCACATGTTTACCATAAACCCTAGACTTCACCAAGTTATTTGCACCAACTTAGCTATCGTTGGGGGGCCCACGTGCGTGGACCCAAACTAAATTGATTAGTAGGATCCAACCCCTTGTTTTCAGCAATGGCACGATCGGAATGACAACTCTTGGGGGAACAAAACATAAACAGATCCAGTATGTCTATGATCCGTGATTATACACTCAAATATATTCAAGTAATCTAGTGGTAGTGTTTCCGATTAACTAGGCGATGAACATCTCAGATGCGATTTGAATGGTACCAGTACCGCCCAATGACAAGCCACAACTTTCACGCCTGGCTGTCCAGCCAGAATGCTACCGCGGGGCTGGAGCAGCCCTAACCCTAACCACCCTTGGAAAACAGCTGCGACCGAAAACCCGTTTTTAGCAATGAGGTTTGGGTCAGTCCCAATCGCATGCTGAAGTTTAATAAAATCTGCAAGATTTCAAAGGCATGCAACAAATTATTAGTCGCTGGTGTGTGACAGAAAGAGTAGCCGGGATGTTTTTTCAGTAGAGGTTTTTCATGAGTCAATTGGGCCACCTGGTCACATCATGTCGGATCTCAAGGCTCCAAAGTTTTGTTTCCTTTGACCCAGAAGTACGTGATGAGGTGCCATCAACTTGCAAAGCAGGGATTTCACGAATTTCAAGGCTAAGGCTAAGCTCCATTGTACGAGGGTGGCCAAACAAATGCGCCCGTTTCCATGTTTTTTTCACTGGCCAAACAAGTCAGTTTTCTTCCTTTGCATTTGCTAACTCCCCAAGAGGGATATTTGGAACAAAACATATATGACCATATGGGGACCATATATATGGACCATATCAAAAACCATCCAAAATTCCAGATAATTCTGGAGGGATCTGGCCAATACCTGACCGCCGTGGAATCTCCCAAATGAGGCGGGCGACCGAAGCCAGACGCGGACACACCGCAGAAGGCTGCCGGAAAGCGCAGCCTGAAAGGAAAACAAACAGCATGGGAGGTGACCACAAAAATATGTGATTTCCTTGACCAAAAGATGGTTGTTTTACCCCGGTACATATCTAAATTTATTTAAACATGGGATATATGGGGGTTTCCATAAATGGGGATACCCCAAAATGGATGGTTTATACGGGAAAATCCTGTCAAAATGGATGATTTAGGGGTACCCGCATTTATGGAACCCCCCCTATTGTTAACATTTAACGCCAAAAACATTGAGTATGAAAAAAATCTTGATTGAACCATCTCAAATATGGGCTAGAATGGGAATATCACCAGCAAATTTATGGTAAATCCAACCAATCTAGTTTTGGGTGTTCGAATTTAGCCTACAAACAAAAGGATCCCAGCTCCTCAGTTAAGTGCCCTACTGCGACTGGGATAGCCCCTTCCGAACTGGCCTTCAACTTGCTCATTGATGGGCACAGGTACTGTAATTCGTCTCCATGCTGGTGTATCACTTGTGGCATTGTTCATCCTTGTGTATCTCGTCGTGTCATCCTTGAGAAAACACTGTTTACTCTTCAGTACTGCTATTGTGGAGGTGTAAATGCCAAATTTATTGTGATTAGTTCCGATTTTTTGTGTGCTCAAATCCTCATTTCAGCTATTTAGATCTTAATTTCTGTTGATTGATGCGCCTTTACTTATTTTAATTTCCATGTTGTTTAGTCTTAATCTGAACTTTGGCTGGTTGAAATTTGTAATCCGGCTCTTGTGGCTTCAACCCCTATCATAATCCTCATTTTGGATGATTAACATGGCACTAGCGCTCTTGCACTGGTGAAGAATTAAGATGGCACTAACGCTCTTGCGCTGGTTATATAACAATTAACATGATCATCATTATCTTTGGATATGATTCATACTGATAGGCGTAGCATCTCAGGTTCCAGTCAAGAGTAATTAATTCCTTTGTCATCGTTGTTATATCAGCAGCGGCGTCACGGGCGCATCGCTCAACCACAAGGGTCCAGAAGGCCCGTCCTCAGGGAACAGGGGGAGCTCCTGCCAGGTTGGTACGGATCACCTTCAGGGCCGTTGACTGACACACTGACTGGTCTTACACCACTGGACCTTAAAGTCATCAATTGTTGAGTGGGCACTGCGCGTTGATCATGTCAGTCTGACTGATCCAAGGCGAACTGTTGAGAGACAGTGTCCACTAGGCGCACTCTCAGCTGACTGCCAACACTGGCTGTTGGCTCCAGCCACTGTGAAAAAGGTCCTGAGCACTGCTTCACACTCTGGTCACTTGAGAAAAATTGTTGAATTCTTCATCTGGGGGTTTCCATAAATGGGGTATCCCCAAAAATGGATGCTTTTTTATGGAGAATCCTATTTTTATATGGATGATTTGAGTCATTTGAGGGTACCCTCCGCACCTCAGCATCTCAGAGGCCATGGCATCAGCCGAAGCGCCGCCTGCACGTTCGGTTGACCCATGGAGCAAGCGATGAAAAGCGGAGATTTCACAAATTAAAGGACAGGAGAATCCAAAAACATGTCAACTTTTTCCAGGCGGCATAGGTGTGAAAAAGAAAAAGGGAAAGTCAGGAAAAAGGGAGGAGGGAAGACCAATCCGTAAAGAAGATGGTGTGAGGGAAAGTAACTTTTGGATAGATAATAGATGCGTAGGCGTGATGAAAATCAATTGTACAAAAAAGAGTTTTGTGATTTTTGTGTGACAGAGTTGTGTGTGACACGGGAAGATTTGGAGGAGGAGAAGGCGGCCGGGTGCAGAACAGAGAGACAAGACCCCGGACAATCATGTGAGGAAATATGGAACTTCACTTTAGAAAAACACTTGGATTCGACCAACAGAACTCAGGGATTTAACATGATTTAACCAAGTAGGAGTAGGATGAAAGATGGGGACTTGTTGTTAGCTACAGCCAACCAAAAAATTGGAGTTTAGGTAACAGAAGGCAGGCATTTGCGCAAATAAGCCAAAGGGGATTTAATGAAATGAGATTTGGAATCTGAGAAAATACATTGGGATTTAAGATGATTGAAGACTGTTTAAGGCCAAAGAATGTTGATAAAGAGCAAAAGATGAGGGTCTGCTGTAATACAGTACATTACGGATGGAAAGTACGTGGACAACTCAAACATGACAGTCAATCAGAGGAGCAGACCATTCGCAAGTGATTACTGAAACCAACAGCAATATAGGAGGGGGTTCAATGTTGCTGATCCATTCAGCAAGTCTTTTGCCCATCCAGACCGCTGCAAATGGGTATGGGTCAAAATTTGAAACCCACGAGAACTACAGTAGAGACTGGGTCATGTTTAGTAATAAGGAGTTACATCCCACTTCAATATTGCTGCGACCCCCATCCCTGTTGCGTTTGATCTTCATTCATGTTGTTCTACTCCCAATTTTTCGTTGGTTGAAACACATCAAAAACATCCCAACATCTTGATGGAAATCATGGCTACAAAATCCCACCAGTTTCATGGCTGAATCCAACCACAAAATGGGCTGGTCTGTTGAACCCCCGGAGATCTCCGGAGCCTCGCCTGCATAGATGTAGGGGTTCAACTGCCTGGAAAAAATGGGAGAAATAGCACTCACATGGCACATGGATGGGCGGAAGCAACCCAACACAACTGGGGTTTCACCAAAGAAACGTTGGGGGTTAACCAAACATCAAGTTTTGTTAGGATGATTCAAGATTCACTTCGCATATACGGTTCGATCTCTTTTTTCCATGACGGTAGAGGGAAACCACGAAGCAAAACTGGAAGAACTGGGGAGCCGGGCCATATCAACAAGAGAGCGTCAAGAATGGTAGGGTATTTTTCAAGAATGGTAGGGTATTTTTCAGAGGTAGCGTGGGAATAAACACAACCAGGTCAGTTTGTGGACAGCCGTCAATGGTTCCAAGCCAGCACAAAATGTTATAGAAGCCCAGAAGAAACCAGCCAAATATAGGTTGGCCTGGTCATGTTGTCTTCGTGGATTGATTCTTTGGATGCAGCCATGCTGAGCATCGAAAAAGACATGGTTTCACAAGCCTTCATGCCCCGAAGCTTTTGTCTAAAGAAATTATATATTATAGCATATCAATAGACGGTCAGTATCGTGTACTATGCTTTTCAAACTTTCCTGAAAAGAACAGCCCTGACAGAATGAAAGGAACAGCCCTGGCGTCCGCAGCAGCCATTTTTGCCGCCGATTCGTCAGGACTACTGGTTGGTCATATTGCTGCTGGGAAAAAATGTCGCAAGATGTTGGCACACCATGACGGGTGTCCAAACGCCCTCAGCCAATCCTTGCTGCCCCTCTTGCTCAGATGATCTTGAGCTTGGTGAGGATCAGGTAGGAGCCGAATGCAAAGGCTGTCAGGAAAGTGGTGAGGCCAAAGTACCCGATGATCATGAAAGGGGTGTATTCGCCTGCACCACATTGCTGACAAAACAGCTTCCGACGTGCACTTGGTGGGCTTTGTGTATTTGTGGAAAGTGCCAGTTGCCAAGGTGAATGTTATAGTTATACTGTAATATTGTTCAGCAATGAAGCTGGTGTATGAATGAATGTAGTATGCAGCTTGCTCGAAAACATAATGAATCAAGAATCTCGTTTAAAATGTTTAAAGAAACAAATCATTGAAGATGTAATGCGCGATCATCAGAAACCTCCATGACTTCATGAGCACTCCTTCTACCCATTTCTACCCCACCTGTCATGTTGTAGTTCAGGTACTCATCCGCTGCACCGGCCGGCAACGCGCTGGAGGCTGCCGCCACAGCGGCGGAAGCGGCCACGGCGGAGCCACGCAGGGCGGCATTGGGCGCGTCCGCCGGAGGCACGAAGGCTCTCAGGGCGCAGAAGGCGGAGATGGCCAACCTTGGAAGTAAGTCTGATCGAAAGAAACATGGCTCTAAATAGAGGTGGACAAGTTTGGGATCTTTGATCAGGCTGATATGTTGATGTTTTTTTGACCAATTGTTGATTCAATGTTTATGACCACTTGGGATGAACAAGATGTGCAGGTCAGAAGGTTGAGAGGTTGAGACCCATAATGACCCATATCCACATGGATTGAGTACCACCTTGAAGACCCTCGAAGTCACTCATGTGACCCCAAGTTTCATGCAGCCTCTGGTCCACTAGTCACACTATTCGCTAGTCTGGTACAGTAACGTACTTTTTGCATCTCCATGAGCTGAGAATCTTCGAACACGTGGGGGTTTCCGTAAATGGGGAATCCCTAAAATGGATGGTTTATAGTGGAAAATCCTTTTTAAAAGTAAAGGGATGATCGAGGAGTACCCCCTTTTTAGGAAACCTCCATATGAATCTAATCAAATCCTTCTGCAGTCACTGTCCATGTTCATCCAATCTAGGTCTGAACACTGGCAACTTGGTTTCACGGAAAATCTTTAGGAAAGGCCATTAGTTGGAGCAAAAAAAGGATTTTCTAATTTCATCTGATTGATTTGAAGTTCTTATTCCTATATCTCGTTCTTTGAACCCCGAAATTAAATGTGTCAATCCATCTTTCCCACAGCCACTCTATGGCTTCGGGCACTCAGCAGCGTATCCGGCCAAGGGGCACGACGGTGGTCAACAGGCCGGAGCGTGCCATGATGTCGTCAGTAGTTGAATGCTGTTGCACCACCAAGACAAGGAGCCAGAAGCTGCACAGAGGCGAGGTGACTCAACTGATTTCCTTGTGACTTGGATGATCTTGATGTACATGAGAGGTCATAAATTCACATTTAAGCCTCCAGAACCGAAAGGGAAGGGATTGAACTGATTGAACAAACCTAAACACGAAAGAGAAAAAACTGTCATATATAATTTACGTAACCCAACAAATAGTTTATATACGATATTTGAGCAATAGCAAAGGTGACGAGGAACACCTATCCTTGTAGTGACAGAAAAAGCTCACTCTGACTTATATATATAATATATAAATATGTCTATTTAAAGATAATATGTATATGATTGTATATGCAGTATTATGCAGTGAAGATCTGATTTTAATCAATATGAAGTAACCATAGAGCTCTTGTGGGTGGAGGTTAGACAGGAAAAGGAAAATGTCCAAAATCAATAATTATATACCTTTCCCCATCTATACCATACTTTGTTTTCTTTGACCACGGTGCAGCCCTGCCAGAATGACGTCCGCAGCAGTCATTTTTGCCGCTGATTCGTCAGGACTACTGGTTGGTCTCATTGCTGCTGGGAAAAAATGTCGCAAGATGTTGGCACACCATGACGGGTGTCCAAACGCCCTCAGCCAATCCTTGCTGCCCCTCTTGCTCAGATGATCTTGAGCTTGGTGAGGATCAGGTAGGAGCCGAATGCAAAGGCTGTCAGGAAAGTGGTGAGGCCAAAGTACCCGATGATCATGAAAGGGGTGTATTCGCCTGCACCACATCGCTGACAAAACAGCTTCCGATGTGCACTTGGTGGGCTTTGTGTATGTGTGGAAAGTGCCAGTTGCCAAGGTGAATGTTATACCTGTGGTGTTCAAAGTTGCAGTTGGCCTAATCCCAATCCCTAATCCGTCCAATCCGCGTTTGCCACGGTAATCCGCTCAATTCGCAGTCCCGTGAAATTTGTGGAATGTTACGTGCCAGGTTATTGAGCTCAAATTCTTTGGCGCTTTCGGCTTGATTCACATGCGGGAACAAGAAACTGACCAAAAAACATTCCCCAAACCTCCCGGACGGAGCCGCAGAATAACCCCAAAACAGGCACTTGGAAGCCAAAGTAGCTGTCTCGGGGGTTATTTCATGTTCCCCTAAAAAGCGCACGAACGCTTTTGCTGGAGCTCTTGTGGGAAAAAAGTGCAATGATTTGGGTAAGGCACACAATTAGCTTTGCAGCTTGTCAACATAGAATCTCATTGAGAAGCCTTGCGGCTCTTCCAATTCAAGCAAAGTGATCTATGCCAAAGCCACCACACAAAATAACCAGGCGAATTTCAACAAGCACAGGGGAAATGACCTGCAATCCGTAAACCATATAATCCGCAATCCCCCGGGGGAATAGGATTACCTTTGAACAGGCCAGTATACTGTAATATTGTTCAGCAATGAAGATGGTGTGTGAATGAATGTAGTATGCAGCGTGCTCGAAACATAATGAATCAAGAATCTCGTTTAAAATGTTTAAAGAAACAAATCATTGAAGATGTAATGCGCGATCATCAGAAACCTCCATGACTTCATGAGCACTCCTTCTACCCATTTCTACCCATTTCTACCCATTTCTACCCATTTCTACCCCACCTGTCATGTTGTAGTTCAGGTACTCATCCGCTGCACCGGCCGGCAACGCGCTGGAGGCTGCCGCCACAGCGGCGGAAGCGGCCACGGCGGAGCCACGCAGGGCGGCATTGGGCGCGTCCGCCGGAGGCACGAAGGCTCTCAGGGCGCAGAAGGCGGAGATGGCCAACCTTGGAAGGTTGGACTTGGATGTGCGTCCATGTGCGTCCCAATGATATGCGGAATATCTCGGGTTCATCCCACTTATGTCTCTATAGGCTATAGGTTTTAGCTTTTATTGTGATACATGATGATATATGTGGGATTTAAAATACACACTAGATTCGAGGCACATCCAAGACGTCATAGTATATAGTTTAGGGGATCGACATCGGTCTATTACAGAAAATATCAATGGAGGCTTTACGCTAAATCAATGAGATTATCATCATTTTACCTATTCAAATATGCTATTTGGAAGGTACACCCTTGTTTCAGACGAACCCATGTCGAAAATATGTTGGATGTCACATGCTGACCCGGTGGAGTTGGCAGTCCCCCCCTTTCAGATCCGAGGGGCACGACGGTGGTCAACAGCCCGGAGCGTGCCATGATGTCGTCCGTGGAACTTTTCTTCGCTGTTGTACCGCCAAAACAATGAGCCGAAAGCTGAGGGTGAAAAATAGGGTGCCACGGGCCACGGCCAGCTGGATGTTGGATACCAGCCGATGCTTTTTTGCGGCAAAGATCAAGAGGATTACCGGCAAAAATGGAGTTTAAAAATGGGGGGTTGCCAGTAAACATGGCGCTTTAATCTTTGTGTAATTCTTGCCTGAGTATTCTGTTCCCCTGTACGTAGCTGAAAATTTAGTAATGAACCGACCCAAGGGTGTACCTAATGCGAATGTGACAGACAGGCAAATATTTCACCAAAGTGGGGGCATGCAATCCCCGAACCTTGGGGATACAGGAGTATCACATAAGATGTAGGATGTGTTGCCGGGAACTCCCTCACAAGATCCTGGATCTAAAGAACAGGAATGGAAATCCCACCCGTTTTCATCCATGTTCCAATTTATAGTTAAATTTTCCCTACTATTGGTTTATATTGTTTCAGCACAAAAAAACTCGTCATGTTTGTCAAATGTTCAATATGTGTGGGTTTCGCTATTCATATTGGTTCAATTCTTATTCGCTCATGGTTGCTACATGAATTTGTTCACTAAAGAATACATCCTGACCGTGGTCGCTACCCTCTGGTAAACTAACATAACTATGGAAAATCACCATTTTTAATGGGAAAGCTCACTATAAATGGCCATTTTCAATAGCTATGTTAAATTGCCAGAAGGTATCCACTCAAAGTCTCTGTGGCGAGTACCTACTGAAGATGACAATGGTGATATGCGCTTCGCGGGGGAAATTTCCACCGACAAGAATGATAGGCAACAATCAGGTCATTAGAATTCATCCGGATGGTTACACAGTACAATGTTACATATGGATACATATGGCTACTATAAACCAGTATACAGTATATATATATAATATATAATTATATAGTAATACATGAGTATAACAGTGGCAACACTGGCAACGCTGGCAACCATGATCTGTTCATATCTTCCTTTGAGGGGTGCCACGGGCAGCCATGGCCTCAAATGAACCACCGGCAGGGTGGTCTGATGACCGGCTGCCCAGCATGCCCTGAAGCAACGGAGGAGATTGAAGCATCTAATACAGTAGCAAATCAAGTGAAGGATGGTGATTCATAGTGATTTATTATGATATTTATGATTTATGATATCTCTTTATGGAAGGTGAAAACAAAAGAAGTACCTAAAACAGAAGAATCTGGCCGGAGATTGGATGCTAGGTGGCTTGGGACCCTTGCTATTGGCTGGTGCTGAGCGGCTACGCAATGTCAAGCAGCTGGATATTCACTGCCCAAATGGTTCTAAATGGCTTGACTTTGGACTGCTCGTACAAATGGTCATCCTAGATCATTCCAGTCTATGCCCCGTCCTATGAACGAAAAAACGAAGAAATGACATGTTGCTCGTCTGTTGGCTCAGGGAAATACCCAATCTTGGGTGAATTGGGTTCCCCATCCTGGTCGTTTTGTGGGTATTGTTGATCAAGTGGAAAAAGATATGTCCTCTAAAATGGCCATGGGCCAAGTCATGCGGACCCAAAGTTGAACTCCTCCCGTTCCTTTGCTGGTTGAAGAGGAAGAAAGAACATGATATCCCTCGCACGTTGGTGTGTCCCTACAGCCGAGAGCGAGTTTCTTTCGCACCAACAACCAAGACCGCTGCTTCATCAAAGAAACGAATGAGAGACTCAAGATGAGCTGTAACTCCCGCCCAGAACCAACATCCGAAAAAAAAATATCAAGGAAACAACATCCAAAACAAAAAGTCATAACCAACAACAGTCATCAACACAAATCCCCACTGATCCCTGGGCCATTTCAAACCGGCCACCAGGCCTTAGCAGGGCACAGAGTCCAGGCACATGTTCAAGGGCTCCGTTTCCAGGTCTTACGGCCGCCAACTGCAAGGGACTCCCCTGGCATCCGCAGGGATCCCACAGGGACTATGGAATTTGTCCATCTCTTCCATGGTGAGATCACCCCAAAATTTATGGCTGGTGCACTTCCAAAAAGCTCAAAGTTTGGGAAGTTCACCAGTTGATTTGAGGATATTTGGGGCACAAAAAATCGGACCAGATCACCCGGGCTGATTTTGTTCGCGCCAGCGCTTATTAAAGCGCTGGCTGTTGGGCTTTTTCCAGCTCCCATTCGGGAGATCCCGAGGAGTTCACTGGTGAATCATCAGGAGATTTGATGGTTATTCCAGAATGGAGCCACGGGGCATTATGGGAATTTCTGCGTTTTTTTTGGGGGCCCTCTGCAGTGAATGATGAATTTATGTGATTTGTAGACAATGAGACCGGGTTGCCACATGGGATAATCCAAGAAATAATCGACTGCATGTCATCATGTTGATGCATTGATGCCAACCATTTAAACCAAGTGCGTTGTTCGTTCCAGCGAGCAATCAATTGCATTAGAAGGATGAGACGTTACTACCAATGAACCACCAAGTGGATTGGAACCACCAAGTCTCAATTTCATGTCAACTCAAGTCAAATTTAGGTATCGGTATCAACTGTTCCTGAGAATATATATATATATAAATATCAAGTCATGGGATAAAATGAAAGGGGTATCTGGACCACCAACCAAGTGTCAAGTAGGTGTGGGTTTGCGTCATGGTGTGCCATGGCAAAATACTCAAAAATAAGCTGCGAATTCCTCCAGGACAGTGTATAAAAAAACGCCAGCACCGGCTGCGCCAAGGTCAAAAAGATGATCCCTAAGAGATCGGGGATCTAGATCAATGGTCGTTGCATGCATGATTGATGATTTTGGACTTTTGAACCCTGGATGTTTTCAGAGTTCACGCACATTTGGAGGCAAACTCAAGAGCAAACAGCTCCGACTGCTCGGTGCATGGCTGCAGCCTGTCTATTCCAAGATGCTCAGCCTGGAAGTTGGCAATTCGACTGATCGCCGAGGAAGTTTGTTAAAACTTGGCTAGCCCATTTTGACCCCAAATCTTCAGTATGTGTAGCAACTATTATGTGTATAGATATAAAATGGAGTGGACTGGTTTCCTACTGCTCAGGCTTTCCCAAAAAAAACATAAAACATCTAGGAGTATATTTCTCAATATAATTCCAGATTTCATTCATCTTTCCTACGTGACAAGATTGTCAAAAAACTGGTCCAGGCATGACGTCTCTCATCGGCCAGTGCGGTGGTAGGCACCACGCATGTCCACCCCAGCCTGGCTTGTGAAAAATTGAATCCTCAGTTTTGGGAAAATATTGGAAAATCTGCGGAAATATTGAAAAATATCGGAAAGTCTATGGAAAGTCTATGGAATTTCGATTGGAACATGTGGGAAAATATTGGAACCTCTTCAGAAACAAACGGGAAATATGGGAAAATCAACTACAATGTGCCAAGAAATGTTCCGTCAGGTTGGACCAGGAGGTCCTGGTCAAAAACATGGCGAATCTCAGGGTTTTAGTGTGGATGATTTGCCTCTGATGTCCCATGATTTCCCTCAAAGGCCAGAGTCAAATGGAAATGATGAAAAGTTGATGATGTAACTCCAATTATATATATATATATATCAGTTGCGTTGGTTGTTTAACCAACAACTGGCTACAGCGTCTCCTGAAAAAGGGTGGCCGGTGATGTTTGACTCCCAATTGTAGACAACTGGGCTGGAACTCATGTTGACCCCAAAAAACATTGCTGGTTGGTGGTTGCAATCCCAAAAACTGTAGTCAACTTAGAGTATCCAGCCAGTAAATAGCCAGTAGTCAGTATATTCAACAGTTTGTAGTCATATAGGGAATGAAAATTAGAGTACTTAGGTCTCCGCCCCATATGATGAAGAACAAACTCTGGAGGTTTGGCTCCTGATCCCATGATTTGTTCCAGGATCCTCGCCATTCCCAAAGAACTAGAAGTATTCCATGACTTCACCAAACAACTACCAGAACTGTTTGGTCAGAAATCTTCCCTAACCCAGATAATTAATAACTACCAGGTCACGGGACCATGAGTCGCCACTACCACCATAGGGTCCCCCAAAAAAGGTTATATCCAGTACTAAAGTTTAGGGTTTCTTCTAGGGATGTTTGTCGCGAGGAGCGAATACTGCAAAAATCTACCGGTGAATCATCATTAAAATCAGCACCTTTAGCGGTATCCCCGTTGTTAGGGATACCCAACAACATAAATGTTACGAGGCATAACCTGTATTGGTGTGTCCAACCGTCATATTTATGGGGAACCCCCATTGTTAGAGACACCCATTGCGGGTATCACCCCAAAAATAACACTCCAAACAGTCCGGTCATATTTGAGGTTGTCCAAGAATAGGCCCTCAAAACAGCCTTTTTGATGGAGAAAATTGTGATAATTTGGCATGTTTTGCCCCAATGTCTAGGTTTGCTCTATGTTGCTCCCAACACCCAAGGCACGAGGATTGTAGATTGGCTAAATCAAAGGGCAACAAATACGCCATTTCCCCCCTTCTTCAATACATTGGTGACAGGGAAAGCGTGCAAGAAACCATGGTCTCCAATAACTCGGTGGTCACCGTAGATTTTCCCTTAAAGCAATCCAATTTCCCCTTGTGGATATCAGTGATCCCTTGGGTTGGAGAACTGCTCCACTGCTGTCCTCTAAAAGCTGCTGCTCCACCCGATTCAAGGCATCCTGCGTGGCCATGGCGGCCCCATTTTTGTTAGACCTTGAAATGAGCGGCTCATCATTGGCCATCTGATGTTAGTTCCCAGAAATTATTCTATGTATATATATATGTATATGTATATATGGACCCGGTCTGCGGCCCGGTCCCCCTCCCACGATGGTATGGTCCCCCCAGGCCGGCTACGCCCCCCCAGATGTTGTTCCCCCCTCCCCGGTAGCCCAGCACCCTGTAACGTAGCATCAAGTGTCTGTGTAAGTACGAGGGAAGATCTCTTAACGTAGCACCAAACCCAGGCGTCTGTGCGGGTGTGCAAGTACAAGAGAAGATCTTATAACCTCAAGTGTCTGTGCAAGAACAAGAGACGGTCTATTAATGTAACACGAAGTGTCTGTGCAAGTGCAAGAGAAGATCTTGTAACGCAACATGAAGCGTTACGGAAGTAGGAGAAAATATCTTGTAACTCCTTATAACGTTGCATCAACTGTCTGCGTGTGTACAATAGAAGGTCATGTAACGTAACATCATCTGTCTGTGCATGTACAGGAAAGGATCCTATAACGTAGCAGCAAGGGTCTGCGCAAGTATGAGGGAGGTACTGCAACGTACCATCCAACATCTGTGCAAGCACATACATACATACATTAATTGCATTAATTGCATACATACATTAATTACATACATACATTAATTACATACATACATTAATTGCATACATACATTAATTACATACATACATTAATTACATACATACATTAATTGCATACATACATTAATTACATACATGCATTCATTACATACATACATTCATTACATACATACATACATACATACATTACATACATACATACATACATACATTACATACATACATACATACATACATACATACATACATACACACACACAGACATACATACATACATACCATACATACACACATACATACATACATACCTACCATACATACATACATACATACATTACATTACATTACATTACATTACAATACAATACAATACATACCATACATACCATAAATACCATAGATACCATAGATACCATAGATACCATACATACCATACATACCATACATACCATACATACCATACCATACCATACCATACCATACCATTACATACCATTACATACCATTACATACCATTACATACCATTACATTACATTACATTACATACCATTACATACCATTACATACCATTACATACCATTACATACCATTACATACCATTACATTACATTACATAACATAACATACATACATACATACATTACATACACACATACCATTACATACCATTACATACCATTACATGCCATTACATACCATTACATACCATTACATACCATTACATACCATTACATACCATTACATACCATTACATACCATTACATTACATTACATTAACATTACATTACATTACATTACATACATTACATTACATTACATTACATTACATCACATTACATTACATTACATTACATGACATGACATTACATTACATTACATACATATCTACATACATACATACCTACATACATACATACCTACATACCTACATACCTACTTACCTACTTTCCTACTTACCTACTTTCTTACATACCTACATACCTACATACCTAAATACCTACATACCTACATACCTACATACCTACATACCTACATACCGACATACCTACATACCTACATACCTACCTACCTACATACATACCTACCTACCTACATACCTACATACCTACATACCTACATACCTACATACCTACATACGTACGTACGCACGTACATATGTACATACGTACATATATATATATATATATACGTACACATACGTACACATACGTACACATACGTACACATACGTACACATACGTACATATACGTACATATACGTAGAGATACGTACATATACGTACATATACGTACATACGTACATACGTACATACGTACATACGTACATACGTACATACGTACATACATACCTACCCATAATCCCAGATACATACATACCTATCCATATACATGTCTACCTACCTACCTACTTACATACATACACACACCAATACATACATACACACATACATACACACACATGCACACACATACACACACATACACACATACATAGATAGATAGATACATACATACATTACATACATACATTACATTACATTACATTATATTACATTACATTACATTACGTTACGTTACATTAGATTACATTACATACATACCTACCTACATACCTACATACCTACAATTTTAGGAGCCACCGATTGATCAAGTTATATCAATGTGTTCCCAATTCCCCAATCCTGAGTAGTGCGGCAAACCTAATAATAAACCATGATCCATCCCCAAAATCACAATTTTTATGGGGATCAAACCCGTCCCCAGTCATGCTAGGTTTATGGCATTATCACCACGACATAACCGCACCTTGCCCACGATGACGCGGTAACTCTCTTGCATCGTCTGCCTGTCTGCACTCAAAATCTCTGGGTGAAGGGAACAGCCTCGATGTTCTCGATGGTTTCATGGACTTCAAGCTTCAACAGAGAAAGAACAAACTAGCGCAGGAGTTCCTTGGGAGATTTATACCAACCCAAATTCATCCAAATTCCTGCCGGTCCACCTCGCAGGTCGCTTCGGCAGCACCGGTACAGGCTTCCTGGCCGGGTTACGGTTGGCAATTGCCAACAGGCCCCACTTTCACCGGTAATTCAAATGGGGGAAATGCAACCACCGAAGAGGTTCAACCAACTAAAAAACACATCATGATACGATAATTGGAGATTTCACCACCAAAACGGTGGATTTAATGGATTTAATGGCACGCCACCAACGAGGACCTGATCGTTGGGTGCTTGATGCGACTTTTGTCATGTTGGTGACGTCAAACCATTTTCACTGGGGAATTCTTTGAAGGGAACATGCAAGTACTCATGGGTTTTCATTTGTTTCCATCATCCAATCCCAGTGCTGTGAATGCTTCCTTAAACCACTGGAAAAAATGATGGTCTATATTGTATGGGCCTTTCTTAGAATGAGGGATCACACCGTAGATCTCAATAGAAAAATGGTATAAAATGGTCTAATTTTGGATGAGTTGGGGGTACCTCCATGACTTAGGGAAACCACCATATGGTCTTTTATGTGAGGCCCCAACCAGTCACCTCACGTGTCACTGGGATGATGGATTCAAGCAGTGAGGTCAGCAATTGACATATACCCGGTGATTTCAAACAGTTTAGTTCCAAATCACCCCCCAAAAAAAAATGAGGGAAACTTCAATGGATGTGGTCGATATGTATGGGATGATGGCTTGATAGGTTCCGTTTACTCCGGTGAAATTACCCATATTTCCTCGATTTACCTCACCTGCTGTTCTCGGCTTGCGCGCTCACCTGGAGATTGTTGATGTGTGAGCATGGACATGGCTGGGAAATCGGTGAACCAAATGGCCATCTATGGGACAGTCATCGAACGAAAGGGGGCATGGGCAGGCATGGGCAGGCTTTCCAGCGAGCCATGGCAATGATTGCCAGAGGAAAAATACCCTCTGCTAAACTAACATAGCTATTGAAAATGACCATTTATAGTGGATTTTCCCATTAAAAATGGTGATTTCCATAGCTATGTTAGTTTACCAGAGGGTAATGCAAAAAGTGGGCAGGGCGGCAGGACAAATGATATCTTCGGATGTTTCAGGCACATACCACGTGGCAAGGCGACGATGAGCTGAACTCAACTCAGAGACGAGACTCTAAGACGAGATCTATGATGATCTTGATGTAGCCTCTTGTAACCTAAGGAGGCAATGAAAAATGTTCCAAAAACACAGATCATTTCATGATTAACATGCAAATTTCCCCTTACTGCTGCCTGATTATATAGAGCCATCTCAGAAATCAGGAGTGGAGGCTATGGATAAATCAATAGCTTGGCTGCTGCCACAACCGATAGCAATGCCATCGTTCTGCCTTCATAATCCACCATCAACGATCACACCGCTGGAACTTTCGCAGGAATGTGGTCTGTTTTTCTTGCAGCACCTACTTGAGTCTGAATGCTGTAGCTTGAGGTCAATATGTTGAATTAATCAAAACAATTTACCAAAAAGTTTGGGTAATTAGGGGGAAGCTCTCCAAAAATCTGCCTTCAACGACGGAGGCAGCAAAAACGATAAGACACAGGTAAGTCTGAAGATATAACGGCCAGGTTGGCCATGTTGAGATATGTCTACTGAGACCTGTCCATTTTAGGGGTTACTCAAGCTTGTAAGCCAATAATAACAAACCAAATCCCTCCAATTCCAGTAGTTAACAAACCATTGGAGATCATATGTTCTTATCATCACAAATAGGGGCACCCCATAAACCCAACTTGGGGATGGCTTAATTCTGGACATACCACGTCTTCCCAGCATGGCAGGTGCCCATTTGGTCAGTGGCAGGGACCTTCAAAAAGATGGCGAAGGGGTCGGACACTGCGGCTTTGGCGTCTTTCGCAGCATCCTGCAGCGGCTTCTCCGCTGCTGATTCTGACATGTTTAACCCAAAAACACTATTTGGGATGGTGGAAAACTGATGACAAAAACATTTTTTACGGGCAAGAATGGCATGATCCATGTACATTCATGTACCAGCTGTGTTGATGTAAACAGCAGGGTGCCGGCGTTTTGAATGTTTTACCTTTGATAGCTGTAGGAAAATTGCTGGTTCTGAACAGCTATTGGACGGACGGATCTTTCTTGGGGTTCCCTGGAAATGCTGGGCTGTAACCAGCCAATGGCAGACTAGGGGGAAGGCGATGGCGGAATTCCCCCCCTCGGCAAGAAAGGCTGGCAACCTTCCAATTTTGGAAATAAGATTCTGAACGAAATCACCGTAAACCACTCGGAAGATCTGCATAAGAATGATATGAAGATCATTAACGGGGTCAAAAATAAAGAGAAACCCCTGCAAACGTTGCCATTTGTTTCTCGCCAACATGTTTCATGCAAAACTCGATACGACTTCAAAGCCATCCTTCTGGACCCCCATCAAAGCTTTGGGGAAAATGAAAACCCTGGCACCGTGGTGAAGATCTAAACATATCTAAACAACTTGTCGGTAGATCATCTCGTACTGTTCTGTTTTTGACTCAAAAGACTTCACAGCCATCCAGTCACTGAGAACCCTCACCATCGCCGCTTCAAAGGCTTTCCTTGTAGCAGGATTTGGCATGCCAAACGGTTGGGATTCAACCATTAAAAGATCGTGATCCTATGACAGGTTTCAGCACCAAATGGCACCCGGCCAAAATAATTGACTGTACTTTTGAGACAAAAGTACATAAAAGAGATCAGAAGAGCAGTTGATATTAAGAATATACTGTGTATATAATATTATAATATGATAAATATATAATATGTGATATACATATATATATAATATTGTGTATATAATATTATATATACAGTTTTTCTACTCTACTGAAATGGCGCACGTGCTTCTAAGATGATGTCTCTTCCAACATCTTGGTTTGCAAGTTCTCCAAATCCCTGGTAGGTATCTGAAAATTGGGGGTGCCCCATTCCATCCAATGGTTCATTTTATCACTTTACCTATTAACATTTAACACATTTGCGGGGGATTACCCATTTTCCGATACACCCATGTAGGTGTAAACAAACAAAACATGAGAACGGAGTTGCGTCATATTTCAACTCTTAGGTGACCCCAAAGTACTCTACTAAGTTTCATGGAAGTTGGCTACCGAAAAATACCTGGAATAAAGGAAAGATTGCACTCCAAAGTGGAGCTTATGATTCTGAATGCTTATGATAAGATTATGTTGCTATGAACTAGTGTCTTTGTCCCCATGTGCACCCATTGTTATGAGATGTGGTTTCGTTCGACTGGCGGTGGTACCTTCATCTTCAAATTGATCCAGTGTCTCTAGCAGCTAATCGACATCGTCTCCCTGTAACAGGATTCATGACAATGATTGTCATAACATTCATGAAAGCCCATGAATTGATGAGTATATCAGATGTATCATCTCGTGAAAATCATAAGCGATTTATTTAGCACACCCAGATGCCAAATGAAAAATCAAACATGGTTCGCTGGAAAATCCACCATTGAGTTGAATGATTTTCCCAGTAAAGCCTCCATTTTCATCGGGGATTTCCCAGCTAGCCATGTTTGATTGCCGGAGGGTAGTTAATGGCTGTCCTAGCTGAAAGATGTAAAAACCCATTATGATCCATTATGAATCACCGTAATCCCACCCCAATAATATTAGACACCCCCCAGACACCATGGTTTTTTCTATGCCAAGCATCCCAAAGGCCTTGGACCCGGCAGACACCGGCCGCTCCTTCAGGGTGCGAAGGTTTTTCTGTATAACCTCTAAAATTGTGGCCATGCACTCACCTGATTGAGGTTTCAGATTTTGACAAAAGCTAACAAAAAAGACACATGTGAAATTTGTTCCCACTGGGGAAACATCATCAGAACCTGCCTCTTTGGAAAGTTCCATCATAGAAATCCACGGGTATCTCCCCAAAAGGTGCTCCCCAACAATATGGGCTTAAAGGGTCCCTATTTCCAATATGGGTTGATGGTTAATACTACTAACCCCTTAAACAATATGGGTGTGTCTGAAAAAAGGGGTATACTCCCAAATAGCTATTAATATAGGGAGAATGATGAGAATCCAATGGAGGGGTACACGACATTTTCAGACAAACCCATATCACATCATAAGGTCTTCGTTTGTGAGTCACCCTTTGGGGGCACTCAACAGTGGTGATCTTGATTGCATATCCGGGTACGTGTACAATCCAAAGATAAAGATGTATTTGCACAAACCAAAACGTACCTGTAGTAGACTATAAGAATCGTTGTAGTATAAAACAATGTCAACAGTAATCATATCATGTATATATATAATATATATCATACTTGTATCAAGAATCATCGAGATGTCCTAAATTTACATCCATCAATCAGACTTGTCTGTTGCCCCCCGCACCGCGCACCTGCTCCGCCTCCGGCGCTTTCGAGATCCGCGAGTTGTTCGAGGCAAACTTCCCTCGGCTGTTCCAGTTGGGTGATGTTCAAATGAATGAAACTGGGGGATCAAACTGCATGGGTAGTTTAGGGGGCCTTTTTATTTGCTACAGCAGATCCTGCAGAGATGGCTGCGGTGGAGGCAACCAGTCTCCGGATTCGTTTGCTGATTTCTTTGGATTCGGGGTATTGCAACTCTAACCCAAAAAAACACCTGCTTATATGCTCTAATTGATGCTTGAAACCCATATATACTGTGTATATATATATACACATACATATTAATGATGCTTAAATCTCTAGTCTATAATCATAAACCCCAAACAAATGCCATAAGATGCATTTCCAGAATGCTACTTCAATGATGTGTCTAGAATGTCCCCATTGTTTCCAGGTGTTTCGATCTTTTTCGGGGGTACTATAATTATCATCACTTATTTATATATATATATATGTATATGGTTAGGGGGTTCCTAAAATAGGGGTACCCCTCAAATCATCCATTTTAGTAGGATTTTCCATTTTAAACCATCCAGCTATTGGGTACCCCCATTTTAGGAACCCCCCATGTATATAATTTATCTACATATAAACAAACAATTTACATCATGTTTCCCAAAAATGGGGGTCACTATGGGGCACTATAATCATCAACCCACAGAATTGCCGCAGCTGTTCCCGCCTCGATCCAGCTGTCGACTTGCGGTCGCAGCCACGGGTGAGGTTGGGGGCGCAGGAGGCGGCTCGTCCTGCCGTGGATTCACCCAACGAAAATGAGGAGTTGAGCCACAAGAACTCAGGTGAAATCACAACACGAATGGGTGCGGAACCAATGACGTTTCATGAATTTTGCTGTGTAATTCCATGCAATTCCATGTAATTCCACCATTGTTAGGACAAGAACAACTCATCTTTTTCTCAACCTTCCCCTAGCCCTTGGCCATCCTCCTTCATGGCCGCTTCCAGGGCCGCCAGGGTCTTCTCAGACAAATGGCAGCCATTCACGTCGGTGACCTTTGGCAATGGAGGCGTTCATGGTGAAGGAGTGTTAAAATTTATGGTCAATATCTAAGATGTTTCCTAAAATGGTGGTACCCCCAAAACCATAGGTTTCAATATTAAGACTGTCTAATTTTTGATGATTGGGGGTACCCCTATTTTAGGAAACCCCGATATGAATCTAGTTCTTTACATGGCTTATAACGGCAACCATGGAGTTAAGCGCTAATTATAGTTGTACGCCGGTTGTAAATGGAATGACTCCAAGTAATGAACTTGCGATCACCACGGTTCCAAACCACTTCCTGGATGTAAATCCGAGCGGGAAAGCCATTGGTGACTGCACGTCCAACTGGGGACCCTTGCGCCGTTGTTGTTTTGCAAATCAGGGCCTGGCCCATACTTGAACCAAATCAAAAGGGCAAAAATTTGGCAACCGAGGTTACTGGGCCCTCAGCCGAAGCCACTCAAAACAGCAACATGGGATAACGCGGGTATGGATCCATATCACCTTGGGGAATCCTGGATTTTGGTCCTGTTTGTTTCTATACTAAAAAAATGTGTGAAAAAACCATTATGAAAATCAGAAAATGTCAAAGCATGTTGAAAGACCCTCAGATCTCGCCAAGACACAGGACATGGAAGGCCGCAAAGGTCGCCGCTGCCGTTCGTGGGGTCGCATATCCACGGCCAGCCTGTGATTCTGATGAGTTCATGTTATGTTTCATCGAACGATTATGCAATGTTTTAGGTTACACATTGAAAAACCCTTTATAGGGGAACCATTATATGAATGTATATATTGTTCATTATGTTACTCAATTTATACATTAAATTATATATTGTTACTCAATATGTTTTGAGTTTTCCATTCTATAAAACATATTGAAACCTCCATTTTCATCGGGAATGTCACAATCATTTTTCATGAAACCCGACGGGAATTCAACCTCCAAGGACATCAGAGAGAAACCATTGCTATAGTACTGGAACCATGGGATTAATAACGGTGTACATCACATGTATACAACAGTTGTATACCAAACATGTTCAAAGTTGGATTCTCCAAGGGTCGTCACTTTAAAATTTTGAACCATTCCGATACGTTCCATGATCCAAACCCCGTCATGCAATCACTATTGGGATTCCTTATGCTATAATGGGTAATACACAACTCTTACCGATATTTGAGAATGATTCCGCTCGTGTAGCTAAGAACCTTCGACCATACATGGACCATCTGTAGGCATCTTTTGATCGAGAAAAGGCCGTATTGTGCCTTGGGATTTCCGAGGGTTATGAGCCCAAACCCCTAATCCCTGCGGTTAGCTATGGTGGATAGGGCTCTTTCAGAACCTCCCCAACTACATGGTTCTGCGGGTGTAAACCCTTTTTGGTCGGAGAAAAACCAGAAGGAGGTGCAACTGTTGGCGACTGTTGGCGGCCAGACCAAGAGGATTGCCGGTGTCGGAACAGTCCCCTGGGATGGAGGCGTTGCCAGTCCGTGACAGGACCGAGCTGGGCACAGGTGGGTGCACAGGGAAGGGTCGCGGAAGTCAACACTCTGGGAATTTGGCTTGCTTTGTTACACCACCCAGCAAAACTGTGAATGGTGGTGATGGTAGAGCTGAAAACCATGTTGCAAAGGTGAAACAATCTGAGGGTAGAATGCCCGACGATAGAGACGGATGTCGCATGTCTATGGGAAGGGTATCTATGGAAGTGACCATGGATGATGTTTCCAAACCTTCTGTAGACGGGTTGCAAAGGGCGTTGGAAGTTGAAGTTGTCAACCAGTTGCGAGTTCAGAATTCGCAGTTGATGGAAGAGATAGAGAAACTGAAAACCATGATGTCTCAGTCTGGAAAAGGGTCTTCAGGGTCATGGTCTGAACTTGGAGGGTCAGCATGTGCGGGTGTGCCACCTGAAGCTGATGATGGAGGACGTAGACATGGCGGGTATCACACACCAAGGAGTGCTGCTCGTACCTTTGAGTCGGGGAAGCGGGAAGTTCGGCTCACTCCGAATGGAACTAGGGTCCCTGACGGAACGCCCCCAAGTAGCGAGACTCCTCATGCTGAACCATGTCATGTACCTCAACCTCCTACTGCACGACCTGTTGTTCCTCCTTTTCCTCAATCCTTCATGGTGAATGACAACATGGAGCAGTTTTTGGATGGATATGAAAAAGTAGAATCAAAACCCAAGGTGATGAAAACCGATCCTACATGGGAACCCAATGGGGAGATGACACCACGAACTGCTAGGGCTTTTTGGTTGGAGCAAGAGGTAGTTGCACTACAGGGCTCACTAGCACGTTTGTCTGAGGGGAATTCTCTCAAATCTAGTGCATACTGGACGAAGGGTTTCCATCCACCAACGGGTCCACCTGTCCGGCTTTCGAACTCAACGGAAGCGGGTGCTGGCGCAGCTGATCATCTTCTTCAAGCTCGGGCTAGCATGGTGAGCAGTCAGAAAGAATGTGGCGGTTACTCGCTCGGCGGATGTGGTGAACATCTTGGACAAGCTCGGGCTAGCAAGTGTGGCTTCGAGCATCTTGGAGGAGATCCTGGTCACTTGCTTGGCGGAAGTGGTGGACACCATGGACAAGATCGGGCTTGCACTGCGAACTTTGAGCACCCTGGAAGAGATCCTGGTGACTTGCTTGGTGGAAGTGGTGCACATCAACGACAAGATCGGGCTGGCACTTTTGGCATGGGTTCTTATAAAGAATGTCATGGTTCAGAAGTTCCACATCAAGCTCGGGCTTTGCATGGGCATGGGACGGACACGCTGGAGCGGCTACATGATAACGGTCCAGGAGGCTTCACAGATCTTCCTCGGCATGGTGTGGGGGGAGGTGGAAGTGGAGAAGGATCGGACCGGGTCTATGGTCCGTGGTCAGAGGGAGGTTCTATGAACACCAAGACAGAGCTCCCTGACCTGCCGGCAACGTCATCGCCGCTGCAGTTTGGAGACTGGTTGCATTTGAGCACCCCATCCATGAAGGACATCAGCGGAGTCGCAGGGTGGTGGTGGGAATCAACTCTTCGAGAAGCCAAGTGCTACTATGAGCAGTGGAAAACCAGTTCTCCTTTGCAACGCATTCAAATACGTCCACAACTGCCTGACAGCCTGAGTGAACATCGCTTTCAACGAACGGAGCAGCGGGGAGTGCAAATGCTTTTGAAGGCGATCCCCTTGGCTGAGCAGCAGGAGCTGGTCACTGATCGGTCGCTGAGCTCAACAGCGATCCTGTACAAGTTGATGGTGCGCTTTCAGCCTGGCGGAGCAGGAGAGAAACAGATCCTCTTGCAGCAGCTCACAACAATGGAGAAGAGCTCAACGATCCAAGAAGTGGCATCAGCCATCAGAAATTGGCGCCGACATTTTGGTCGAGCTGAAGAAGTTCAAGCAGTTCTTCCGGATGGGATTCTTTTGCTGAAAGCTTTGGACGATCCTTTGCAAAAGATCGCAGCCATTGACCAACAGGCAGCTTTCAGATTGTCCCAATCAAGGATGCAGCTTCAACTAGACCAACAACCAACTCAAAGAAATCTTTGGGCGTTTTCCCAATGTTTGCTGGCTGAAGCGGAAACCTTGGTGCTGCTTCAAAGCTCTGCTTCATCGACAACGTCGACGCCTCTCAAGCTCAAGCAGCTGGATGCAGACAAGAAGTCTCCAATCAAGATGGCCAATGGAGATCCAAAATCAACAACAACTGCAGTGGTCGAGAAACCATGTCGCTATTTCATGTCTGACAAAGGCTGCAAGGCAGGCAAAAGTTGCAAATGGCAGCATGACTGGGACAGCCTCAACGACAAGTCTGAGCGTTGCTTCATCTGTGGAAGCAAAGAGCATTGCAAGAACGACTGCAAACTGAAGCCGGCTATGGGTAAAAAGCCAGGTGAGCCTAGTGCAGGCTCAGGGGGAGGACGTGGTTTTGGTGGTTCTCCAGCATCAAGTTCTACCTCTACTGCAACTGGTGGCAAAGCCGGTGCGGCGGCGGTCAAAATGGCCAAAACTCCCATGGAAGATGCTGCAATGACAACATCAACTGCTACAGAGGCAGGTGCCACAATTGCTCCACCTGAAGTGACAAGCTCCACTACCAATGAAAAGGATGGAGGTCGTGGGGGAGGGAACGATGGTGGCAACAAAGGTGAGAAAACAGCTGAACTCTTGCATGAAGCAACACAACTTTTGAAGTCGTTGCGAGTTCAGCCCAAGATCAACGTCATGCAACTGGCGGGATTGGAGCAGGCGGAGAATGATTGGGTGCTGATTGATTCAGGTGCCACCCATGCCCTACGTCCTGCACATGATCTACATGAATGGACCAATGCTGAGAGAACGGTGGTGCAACTTGCCAATGGTGAGACGGAGGCTTTTCGCCTGAAAAGGGGCACCAAGGTGTTGTTGGGACACCCAACACAAACGACTTCAAGAATTGTCCCCATGGGTGGTCTCACTGCACTTGACTTCACATTGCAGTGGTCTGGAGATCAATGTCAGCTGCGTGATGACGAGGGCAGAGAATTTGAAGTGCGAGTTGTTCAAGGCTGCCCTATGGTTTCTCTTGCAGATGGCCAAAGAATTTTGGAGTGGCTGGAATGGTATCAAGTGCATCAACAACGGAAGCTGGCGATGGTGAGATCTCTGCTGGCTGATGACACCCAGGTTGATCGACAGCGTTTGGACCTGGAGCTGGCCTTGACCTACAAGCTGCGGCAGCTTTTTCCGCATCTTCCTGATGAAGTCATGATGAGAATAGCACCGCATCTGGAGATGGTCAAGACGGAAAACTTTGAGTCCAACTTGCCGTGGAACAGGCACAAACGTCGACGACTTCGTCAAGCCAAGCATGTGATTCTCCACCTGTTCTCTGGCCCAGATCACAACTACTGGGATCAAAGATGCGCCAATGCCAACACAGAGGTGCTCTGCATTGATACTACATGCTCTACGCCTGCCAACCTTCATGACCGAAACGTGTTTGGCTATTTGCTCACACTTTGTGCAAGTGGGCGAGTCAGGGCAATTTTGGGTGGTCCACCTTGCAGAACGGTGACAGCTCTGAGGTATCAAAATGATGGTGGTCCTGGAGTGCTGAGGACAGAAGAACACCCATATGGCCTCCCAACTTTGAGCCCTGCAGATGCCGAACTGGTGATCGCTGACTCAGTTTTGATGTTTCGCTTCTGGTCCCTGCTCATGGTCGCCGAGGAGATGCGTGAAGAGACAGATCCTCCGACACAGTTTTTCATGGAGCAGCCTGAGGACCCAAAACGGTATCGCTCAGAAGAAGATGTGCGACAGCATGAATATTTTTCAGTGTTTCGCACTGCTGAGTGGAAGGCCTTGGCGGAGAAGTACAACTTGGTGCAGTACCACTTTGACCAACATCCGTTGGGGCATCCAAAAAGAAAACCTACCTGTCTGGCCACGAACGTGCAAGAAGTTCGGCACCTTGATGGTGTGCGTGGAGCCCCTAGCAATGAAGCTGATGCTGGAGCTCAATTCAGGGCCATGACAGTGGAACAAAGATGTGAAGTCTCAAGAACTTGGTCTCAATGGGCTCTTGGTTTGAAAAATGCGATTTCACTGGCCGTGAGCCAGCGGGTTCAGTGGCTTGACCGGCATCCTGATCAACCACAACAACCAGCGGTCAGGACTGGGCGCCGCAGCTCTCGAGTCATGGAAAACGCACTACCTCCACGACCACATGCCTTCCCGTAGAGATTGCCAACAATGTGTCAGAGCACAGGCTCGGGCACGCCCACATCGGCGAGTTCAACATCCCGAAGCGTTCACTTTGTCGGTGGACCTGAGCGGCAAGTTCACGCCAGGCATCAACCAGGAGCAGAAGCAGTGCAAATACCTGCTTGTGGGGGTCTACACTTTCCCCATCACCAGAGATGGTGTGCCACTCGCTTCTCCGGATGGTGTTGAACCTCAAGATCAACCACTTCCTGGCTTGGATGAGTTCTCAGCGGATGATGGAGCTGAAGATGGGCCAGATCTACTACAAGAGCAAGAAGATGGCAATGTGGATGTGGAGGGCCAGAGCGAAAATGAGGACCAAAAGGCCGAAAAAACGGCACATGGCTGCTTGCTGGCATGGCAGAAACTGGTGGAGGAATCCATGAACGTGACGGTGAAGAATGTCACTTTTGTGGAGACCATTGAAAGCCGTCACTCCCAACATGTTCTGCCTGCCATCGCCAAGATCTACAGCCGCCTGCGACAGCTTGGCCTTCCAGTGATGAGGCTGCACTCAGATAGAGCCAGAGAATTTCTCGCAGCTCCTTTGCGAAGGTGGGCGCAGCATCGAGACATTGTTCTCACAAAGACGGCAGGTGATGATTACAAGGCCAACGGCCGCTGCGAAGCAGAACTTGGAGTCACCAAGCGAGCAATCCGCACGGTGATATCTGCTGGCAAGTTCAACATCAACCTGTGGCCGCTTGTAGCAAGGCATGTTGGAGAACGTCGTCTCCGAGCTCAATTGCGTGGCTGTGGTTATCCTGTTGGTGACTTGCTGAAGTTTGGAACTCAGGCATACGCTCTTCGGAAGTGGTGGCAAGACAACCATGAAGAGTGGGTCGACACCAGACAGCCTGTCTTGGTGCTTGGACCAGATGCCTGCAGCACGTTGACATCAACAAACTATTTTGTGCAGTCCATTGACACGGGTAAGTACTTCTTCACGGCCGATGTCATCACCCCTGACTTTGAGGCGACGGAGGCGGCAGTTCTTGGACAAAATGCTGAACAACCAGCTCATGCCGGTGCTGCTCCGCGACCAATCGGGGTTGACAATGCCATCTACTTGCCCGAAAGAGATGAAGCTTCTCGCCCTGCTGGCATGGATCTTCAACCAGCACGACGACTGCGTGGCAAAACCAAGCCTGCGCTGTTGCATCGATTGATGCGGGCACCAATCGAGGGGGAGGATGATCCTTTCGAACATCTTGGCCATGTGAATGCACCATCATGGGAACGAGACAGCGATGATAGCTGGACCTTGGAAACAATTCCATCACCAGACTCATCTCTGGACGGATCTGGAGGTGGGGAGGAGGAGGAGGCGCCTAATAGTCAGTGCGGTGGCTCATGCCTGACAGCCTCACAGGAATATGAAAGCTTCCTACAAAAGGTGCAACACAACTTGCACATGTTGGTGATGGACGAGATGGTCCACATTGATGGCACGGCTGATGAACAGGCCTGGTGCATGCCAGTCTTGAAAGAGATGCTGGTGCAAAAAGCGGAGGTGGAAGAGGAGCTGATCATGATCAACAGAGGGAAAAAGGAAGTTCTGGCAGGTGAGAATGAATTTTTGGTGACCAGAACGGTGTCCAACAAAGAAGTTTGGGAGAACATCAAAAGTTGGGAGCCTTCAGTGAGAGCGGAGTATGAGCAACTGGTGAACCAGAAGCAGGCAGTGACGCAGATGACGAAGTCTCAGCTGCGACAACTTGCTCAAGAAAGGCAACTCCCAATTGAGCTTCTCCCAGCCAAAATGGTCCACACTCGAAAGGCCAACACCGGTGCATATAGATCTCGAGCCGTTGTATGCGGAAATTATCAAGAAGTGGGCTCAGGAGATCGATATGCAGGGGGTGCCGATGGATGTCAAGTCAGGGCCTTGATCAGAACCGCGGCTTTGCGGGGATGGTGCCTGGCAGGCAGTGACATTAGGGTAGCGTTGTTGAACGCTCCAAAGCGTGACACAACAAAGATCACGGCAATGGAGGTACCAACCATCTTCAAACACCTTGGTTTGGCTGACGCAGAAGATGTGTGGATCATTGAAAAAGCCCTTTATGGGCTGGTGTCCTCGCCAAGGGACTGGGGCATCCATCGAGATGAGGTGCTGCCTACTTTGCGCTGGAACCGGAGGATTGGAGATGTGGTTCTCGAGGGGCGATTTGTCCACTCAAAGGACGAGAACCTGTGGCGTCTGGTGGAGGTCAACAAGGAGACAGGCACTGAGAACTGGGCAGGTTTGATGTCAGTGTATGTGGATGACATTTTGGTGTCTGGAGAACCACAAACTGTGAAGTTGGCCATGGAGGCGATTCAAAACACGTGGGCACTATCGGAGGTGGAATGGGCTTCTGACAAGCCTCTGCGCTACTGTGGTTTTGAGATCAGTATGGGTGCTGCTGGAGATGGATTCTATGTGTCCCAAGGCATGTATGAGCAAGAGTTGATGACGAGATGGGACATTCAGGAATCACTGCAGTATCCTGCCTTCAAGGTCACTGAGGATGATGAGCAGTTTGTGGGGGAGATCGACCCAAATGATGTTCGCACTGCCCAGATGATGACTGGAGCGCTCCTATGGCTCTCAACCAGAACCAGGCCAGATTTGGTTTTTGGTGTTTCTGCAATGAGCAGGCTGACAACGAAGAATCCAAAGAAGGCGGTGGAGATTGGGTATGTCTTGCTCAAGTACCTGCATGGAAATCCTGGTGGAATGCACTATCCACAAACGATTCCTGGAGGTGATTGGGGCCGCCGAGACCAACTGAAAGCAAGACGGCATCAGAAGATGCTGGAAGTTTTTTCAGATATCTCCTATGCTGCAGGCGCTGACCACAAAAGCATCCAAGGCTTGGTGGTGTACTATGCGGGAGTTCCCATAGCATGGCAGTGTGGAGTTCGACCTTTTGTGGCGCACTCAACTGCAGAGGCTGAGCTCATCGCATATTGCGAGTCTTTGGTGGTTGGAAGGGCAACAGAAGCGCTTTTGGCAGCCATCTGGCAACAGTGGGATTTTGAAAAGGTCATCTATGGCGACAATGCTGCAGCAATCAATTTGGCTCACGGTGTCACGACGGCATCCTGGCGCACACGCCACCTTAGAATCCGGGCCAGTGTGCTGAAGGAGGCCCTGGATGAGTCAAATCAAAAGCTTGGAAGAGGATGGAAGCTTCTGCATCTCAAGGGCACGGAGCTAGTTGCTGATGGATGCACCAAACCTCTTCAAGGCCAAGCTTTCACGCAGTTTGTAGATGATCTTGGTTTGAGGAGAACAAGAAGGGAGCATCGATCTGTTCCTGAGAACAGACCTACTGCTGGTGGTGAACACCATGGTGCTGCAATGCGAGCGTTGGTGGTAGGTGGCACGTTGCTCTCTATGGCTGAGGCTTATGATGAAGAACCGGAGGCCGAAGGAGATCTCACTTGGGTCTGGGTGACGGGAGCCGTCCTTATGGCTATGGGCGCAATCTATGCTGGGCAGCTGCTTCATAGCGCATCGAAGTTTTGCCTGCGACGATTGCGAATGTCGGAGGAGGGTGGAAGTCTTAGACCGGAGCCGAGAAGAGAAGATGTCAGCTCTTCGGAAGAGGAACGTGGTGTTTCAACTGGCACTACATCATCGAAGGCGAGACCACGCTCGGGCATGCATGGTGGTACTTCTGCAGGCGCTTCATCATCAACATTGAGGCCACGTTCGGGCTCGCATGGTGGTGATAGCATGGATGAGGATGAAGCTACATCATTGAAGACTGGGCGACGTTCGGGCTCGCATGGTGGTGAGTCAGCTGGCGCTACGCCATTGAAAATGAGGCCACAGTCGGGCTTGCAGGGTGGTGGGTCAGCTGGCGCTACATCATTGAAAATGAGGCCACAGTCGGGTTTGCAGAGTGGGGGCAGATCTGGTGCTACATCATCGGGGTCAGTGCCACGCTCGGGCTCGCATGGCGATGGTGGTTCTGCCAGCACTACACCATTGACGTCGGTGAAGTGCTCGGGCTTGCATGGCGATGGTAGCTCTGGAAGTGCTACATCATTGTTGACGATGCCACGGTCGGGCTCTGCAGCGGGCGATCCTGCTGCGGTCATTGCAGCGGCTGAGGTAGGTAGGGATGAAAGTCCAGGTGCCAGCCTAAAGTGGCAGGAGAACCCCTGGAATGAATTTCAAAAGGCCTATAAGGGAAAGGGCCTCAATTCTACAATTTTGTCCAGGCTGTACAAGAGCCATAAGGACCGATGACTTTAGATGCCTTGAGCCTACAAGGTGTTTTGGTGAGAGCTTTTTCCTCCTGGGTTTTTGCCATGACGGCAAAAAGGGGGAGCTCGTGTAGCTAAGAACCTTCGACCATACATGGACCATCTGTAGGCATCTTTTGATCGAGAAAAGGCCGTATTGTGCCTTGGGATTTCCGAGATTCCGTATATCCCGTTTAATGTATAATTAACCATGATAGACATGCAGAACATATATCAGGTTGTGACGGAAAAATGTATTTCATGTATATGATCATTATAATGATTCTGAAGTAGATAGAATATGGAAATTCCAAATAATATTCACTAAACATCGCATATCTTTGAAAACCAAACAAATTCATACAATTTTTATCTCTTCCAGGAATATTAGATATTTATATATTAATATATATATATATATATATTTTTAAAAAAAAATAATCATCATTATATATCATATACATATATATATATATCAGATATATATCCCATAAATCCACTGGGTGAATCATGGTGACTTTATCTCCCCAACAAATCGGTCACCTGGAGCTCGGCGGCAAGCGTCGCCCGTTCAAGGCAAAGGGCACGGTGGTCGGGCCACTCCTGAGCCAAGCGTCATAGATAAATCGCTGAAGTAGAGATTGGTTTGAAAATGGAGTATTCACATTGTGCTATCTAGCCATGGCCTTTCAATGGGCTACTGTGTTTTAGCGTGGGCTACTTGCACAATTTCCCAAATCCAGCCACTATAAAATGGCTAGCGTCAACCCACCAACCCAACATGAGATTGGTGACCGGCTTGAATTCCCAGCTTTCCAGTCAGTTTCAACCCAAAAGGATGGCAGGTGCTGGCTCAATCACCAATTTCATGGTGGGTTGAAAAGTTGAGGCCAGCCATTTTATAGTGTGGGAGTTGGAAATCATACAAGTAGCCCACACTATTCCAAAATGGCCCATTGAAAGGCCAGGGCTGGCATTTGGAGGCATTGGAAGCAAAATCAAGGAATGCAAAAGGATTGCAGATGCTGGCTCAATCACCAATTTCATGTTGGGTTGAAAGGTTGAGGCCAGCCCTTTTTGTGGTCGCAGCACTTGGAAATCATACAAGTAGCCCACGCTATTCCAAAATGGCCCATTGAAAGGCCAGGGTTGGCATTGGGCGGTATTGGGAACGAAATGAAAGAATGCAAAAAAATGGTTTGCCCATCTTCCCTGGGCATGTCTTCACATGGCACAGGGCCGGGCTCCCGAAACATTGTGCCCCTACCCGAGGCATCTTTGATCAAATGATCAATGGCTGCGGATAAGAACAACCTGGATCATGCCTGCACTGCAAAAACCTGACCAAATCTCGACAGATTTCAGCTACAACCTTAAAATCACTATAAAATGTGGTGAGTGACCCCCTGAAGGGCTGCAGCTGGAGGTACGTAAAACGAAATATTGCATGCCTTGACCCTTCTCATTTTATAGAGGATATGTTCATGGGTATCCTACAAGCACAATGGTCTACAATTCGGTGATCACTGTGGTTTGACTTGGGATGTGTGTCCCCAACCCTAGAGGTGAACATACATCTCCAGTCGCCACTTGGGCAACCCATCGCTCTCAGTGTCCCACACTGTGCCACCCAAGGGGAAAGTCCCTGGTCGATTCTTTGGCATCCTGGCAGGCCTCAGAAAACTCGCCAAGGTCTCCATCAAATATTAGTCACTTCTAAAAGATTCATAACTATTTCCTACATATACTGTAAGTAGCAAAACATCCAATCACATCACAACACATCAGTTTTCCAGCAAAAGTATACTAGACATATTCACAAACTTTGAATCAGACTGAAGTAACACACCTTCAAATCGTGTGTAATCTTAATGAACCTGCACTGAAGATTACTCATTCAGACCTATCATCCATATTCAAATTCAGAAGTATGCATAGATATCTATATATAAATAAAAATAATCATCAGTTTTCCTATCACAAAAGTCTGGGTAAATTATCATAATTCATTGACCTGAATTAGGCTATAGTGGGGTAATCCCCCTTACAATTCATCGTTCCAGTGAGGTCACGACGTGAGCTCGATGTGATTTACCCAGAGCTACAGTTCATGGATGTGATAGGACTATAGCAATTATTAACCCATGATTATCCCATGAGTATTCTCCCATGGTAAGCTAAGTAAATCCTCCACCGGCGCCACGGCGTCAGGGCCCCCCCGGCAGTATGCCGCGCATGCCGCCCACGAGGCCCGGGAAGGTGGTGCCCATGCCAATCTGGGATGCTGCCCGTCGTGGGATCACATATATATATATATATATGTCTTGGCTTGGCTTGGCTTGGCTTGGCTTGGCTTGGCTTGGCTTGGCTTGGCTTGGTTTGGTTTGGTTTGGTTGGTGGTCAGCACCAGTAGGTGAGACTGGGCCCGCACTTCCCCCCCGGCCAAAGCTTGGGGTTCAAGTCGGCCATCTAGATCTAATGCAGCCAAGACCCAGCTTCTCAAGGAGAAGAAAAAAGTAAAAGAAAGAAAAGGCCGAGCAACAACGTGAAGCGCAGAATGGAACAAGAGACAGAGAAAGAAACATGAAGGTACCGCAAGGAGGCCAGAACCGGCGGACAGCAAACAAGCGCAAAGAAGATTGACGAACAGGAAAGAGGAGGAATAAAGGGGAAGGCCACACCGGACACGGGGTCAAAGGGCACCAAGGCAAAGCCAAACAACAAAGAACCTCAGCAAGAAGAATAGCGAGAGAAGATATGCAACGGCCATTGATCCTGAAAAAAGTGCCTCGTGACATGTTTCACCATCAACGGGGCCCACACGGCGGGTGGGAATTGCAGTAGCCTTGTTGGGAGGCCCTATTGCCAAGCACTAAGGCACAGCGCATGTCTGCTGAGGCGCAACAATCCCACACATACCTGGACAGGTTCTCCGAGGCTGGTGAGAAGATGATGGAAGACGACAATCAACTTGACAACTTGACAACTTGACATATAGAGGGTGATGTGCTTGTTCATCGACGATGTACATGTCAGGTGAGTCCGGTGGGCACAAACATCAAGATGTGGGATAGCTTGCTCAGTCAAATTCTGCAAAGCGAAAAGATCGGAAATGGTGTGATGGTTGATGAGTTCCATCCAAGGAACTGGATTCAGACAAGAGATGTAGGGGAGGAAGCCGCTAGGCCAACTATCTAACCGGTGTTACATTCGGAGCCTAGACTCCCGAACATCGCATGCGTTGAAGCGCGGTAGACTTCACCAGAAGTCACAAGCCAAGGAGGACAGGCAATGCTCCCAATAGAAGTGCTAAAATGCTACAAACTATTAAAAGCCTGGTTACACTCACACACTTGGCTGGGCCCATAAGCGCAGTGAAGATGACAGCCCATCAAAGCCAAGCTGTAAGTTTCGGAGAGGCTGTCCTGCCAGTTGTACCGAAGCAGCAGGAAGAAGACACAGAAGGCTCGAGCGCTGGAAGACGGATGAACAAAGGAGCAGGCAGGGAGGTTTTCAAGGCTGCTCTCTACATGCCCTGAACATCCCCGCAATTACCCCAACACCAAGCTGGAGTTCGCGTGGCGGTGGCCAACAAACAAAGAAGAAAGATAGAACTCAAGTTCTCAAGTTGGACAAAAGCGCTGGGCCTACGCCGGCAGTGAGGAAGCATGGTCACCGCCTGAAATCCCCAAAACTTCGATGTTGGGTATAGAGGGTAGCGAGGAAGGCTCGAGAAGGACATGGCTGGCAATGCAATGAGACTCCGAAAACCATACCCAAAAAGAAGGAAAAGGCCAGCAGCAGTGCGACAGTGAAAGGACGAAGGTGGAGGTTGCGAGCAAGAGATCACAACCATCTGCAAACTAGATGGAACCTACCAGTAGTCTAGAATCAAGTAATGAATGGGCTCTGTGAAGCAATGACAAGATTGCTGACGCTTCGTTGGGCACATGGCCAGGGAAAGGGGAATGACAAGAAAGAAAGGAAGGCATGGCATAGCATCATAGAAGAGCACCTCAAAGAGCACAGCGAGGCCAGAAGAGCCACACCGCGGCCAGCAACAACAAAGCACAACAAGAAAGAGCAGAAGAGTGTTGGATTCAATACCGGGCCTGAAGGGGCACGCTGCGGCGAGCAACAAAGAAAACGACAAGAGTGAATAAGGGCACCGGCCACTCAGAAGCCAAAAGGGCTGAGAAAGCTGCAAGACAGACGCAAGGACCACACAGTGGCCAGACCGGGGCCAGAAACAAAGAAACACGACAAGGAATTATAACGATGAGAAGGGGTGCCAGAAGGGCCACGCCACGGCCAGCAACAAAGCACAAAGCACGACGAGAAAGAAGAAGGATGAAGAAGGGTGAGGACCACACGGGGGCCAGAAGGACCACGCGGGGGTAAGCAACAAAGATGCAAAGGACATCCCACTGGACGATCCCATTGGACATGCCACTTCTACCAATTCGGCCCGCAATTCATCCTGTTCATGCGCGAGGGAAGATGGCAGTGTCGGGGAAAAACTTCAGTGGATTCATGGTTGCACTATTTTCAGACAAACCCGCAACCCCAAATAGTTATCAAATACCGGTACAATCTAAATAGATTGTAAATGAGTCTAAATGGTTGCTGGTCACCTTCCAAACTTGCAAGAGCTCATGTTGTGCCAAAACTGTTTGAAAGTTGTGGTTTCTATTCAAACCGGTTGTTGTGACTTGCCTCTCCACGATGCTTACCCTAGGTCAACTTTGCAAAGTACGGCCGTGGATGTGTGCGGTGGATGTTAAACACGCCACCTCACCTTTCAGTGTTTGGGCCTCTGTAGCACGCTTGAGTGACTCACAGTAGGCACTCAGGGTTGGGCCGTCCCCAAACCGAAGGGGATATATTTGTATGTGTATATATATATATACACATACAAACACATATGTTTTGACTTTACGGGTTCAGTGTGTACAGTGTACAGACATGCGTGCCTTGTTTTTTCTCTACAAAAAGGTATTTGTTGCAACTGGTATAAATGCAAACCGCCAAACTTTCCAACTTGGGGGTTACCTGTAGGCTGGAGTAGTTGTAGTGGCTATCAATCATATCCAGGTGGCACCTAACCCAGCAAAATTTCTATGACATAATCAACCCAAAACAATGAAGCATCAGTGGAACATGACACCAATTAGCTAACTTTTGTGACTATTGCAGATGTCCTGATTTTCCAGTTCACCTTTTTTTGAAATTCCACTTCACGGTTACTTTATGGGCATACAACCCACAAAACAACATGGAACATGCTTGGGTATGCATGCGTCCTCTAAGACCATGTGTCCTTTATATACGACTCTATGATCCCAATAAAAACAAAATAAGATTAGAAACTCTTACTCTCCGAAGGCCCGGCTGTGGCAACACAGCGCCGGCGCCTCTTTGTTGGTTTTTGCCAAGCAGGAAATTTGCAGAAAGTCCAAGATGGGCTGCAGCCGCATGTCTGACAAGCGCAAACAACAAAATCACTGAGGAAAAGGATTTCTACCAAGGTACAAGTAAGGGTGTATATTTATATATATATATATACATATATTTCGTCTGAAAACATGATCGTCCAATGATTTCCGTTTCTGCCACCTCATACTGTACCCTTCGGGTTCTGTTAGACAAGGCGGCTTGGGTTGAGATTGGGTTCATCTTCTAACCGACTGTAAATTCAAGCAAGACCTGGTGGAAGAAGGACGTGTCCGATTCCCAAAATCTGTCAGGTGATTTTTGCCTTCAATTAATATATGTCTAGTCAAGCCAAGAACTGATCCAGTCAAATCAAGTCTTCATGTCTGCAAAGAAGGTTTGGAATGCAGACATGCTCGATCCCAAATGCTACATGTACAGGTATTCACCGACATTTATATGTCCTGTTTGGGATAAGTAAGTGTATGTTGATGCCTCTATATTCTATAGTAACACATGCGGCATGATCAAAATATGGTATAATGATATGTGGCGTGGTCATTCATCCCATGCCATTGGAATCGAAACATATTTAATTGTGAGTATGAATCCCTATGAATGGATTGATGACCATTCCAAAAAACTGGGCAATTTATACAAGTATACCCAAGTCTTGACCATGGCACATATTATGTGAAACTGACCCAGTATGCCCTTGGATGCTGGATGCTGGCAACCCTCAAGGGCCCGGACGGAGGGCTCCGTCAGCTATGCCTCGAGGGGCGTTGAACCACCCAGGTTCCCAGAAAGCAATCAAAAACCTGCTGGCGTTCTGAGCATCAACCGGCATTTTAGCATCAAACGTGGGGGGTGAGAGTTGACTACAATGTCTTGCTTGGATTATCGAAGGAAGTTTAGAAGTCAAACTTCCCACAATATTATGGACAGATGGAAAAGCAGAGGAGGAAAGAGTCAGGGAAGAGAAAGAAGAGAAAGAATCGGCAGACAAAAGGTACAGGTGCGCGAAAAGTCGCGAAACAATGTGTTTTTCCAATGTTGTGCAGCTCTGGAGGCTCAAAAAAGTAGGCTCGCTAAAGTGGCGGGCGTGGAGCCATCTGGCCAGATGAGAGATGACAAATTGCACGCCTGGAAGTCAAAAACCTAAAAGCCTAAAAACACCTCACGTACGGAACAATTTTGGCAGTGGGAGGGAATGTCGAAACAGTGCACACCATTGTGGAACGAAGCACATATGGAGGTAAAAATGTTAAAGGCGCAACATTCTCGGACAACTTTTGGAAGTTCAGATGTTCAAACACGCCGCTGTGGCGCGAACACATTTAAAAGTAAAAATGATAAAGCATGCCATTTTCGGGCCACTTTTGGAAGTCGAGGTGCTCCAAGTCAAAATGTACAAAACACATCAGCTCGCTGAAAAAGTGCACGCACTTGTGCCGCGAAGCACATTTCCAAGTCAAAATGGTACGAGCACCACTTTTGGACGTTCAGATGTCGTTTCGCGTGGCAGGCGCAAGGGATTGTGCACCTTGTCTAAAGTGAGCAAAACGTGAGGGTTTTGTAGCATTTCAAAACACGATGGCAGGTGGGACATTTGAAGGGAATCTGCAAAGATGCATTTTGCGCGTCAGGCGCAGTACAAAAGACACATGAGTCAGACATGTTAGGAGGTCAGGGCGCTGATTTCCTGACAGGGGTTTCATTTTGGAGCATCAGATCTTCAGGTTTGCTGAGGTGGTTTTGCGTGACAGGTGCAGCACTTCGTATGACCTGTCCTCACTTTTTCGTGGCACGATTGAATGGAAAAATCGCAAAACGAGGCACTCGACTTTCCATTTTTGAAGGAAGTCTCACTGTATTGCTTCATTTTTGATGTTGTCAAGTTCCAAAATTGAGGAAGCCTGGCAGAATTTCATCGCTTTGGCGCTGGGAACTTACAATTCTTGAGCAAGTCTGGCAGAATTTCTTGGTTTTGGAACTGTGCGCAGCCATTTTTTGAGGAAGTCTCGTAGAATTGCTTCGTTTCACAGAGAGAGACAGAGACAGACAGACAGACAGACAGACAGAAAGAGAGAGAGAGAGAGGTAGTACTACTGTTATAATATTTTCCCCCACTAAAATTGCCATGTGGGGGGTATATCCCATGTTCAGCAGACTCATATCCCTAGAATTGTGCGGAAATTGCCACCGGATCATGAACATCCTCTAAAGGGAGATCAAGGAGATCTAATTACTGGTGCCCCCAGTCCCTTGTGGGAAAACACGTGGGTTTACCAAGGCATTAGGAGAGTTCATGTTTAAAAAAAAATATTCCACACCTACAATGACCTATCTTCTGGAGGCAATGAAAGCCAATGCGCTGAGAACGCGCTGAGATTCGATCATCATGCTGTAACTGTAACTGGCCATGTCATGTTGAGGACAACTATGCATTGAGAATTCCTGGGTCCATACCAATTTCCGAGACCAAAAAAAGTGTTGCTCGTTGGTGTTTTTTTGTGGCATCCCTGAAGAATAAGTCACGGACAATCATGTCCCAAGAAGGCCGTGAACAAAAAGATGCTAAAACCAACAACCTGGTACAGGAGTCGCCTCTTGTTTTGTGCCTTCATTTCTGTGGTTCCCACGCATTGTCCCCATGAAAAATGGCATGTCCATTGCCATTCATGTTTATATAGATTTTGGAGTGAAATCAAAGTTTGATCACATCCCCGTCATATCATCATTATATCCCGTTTAAAGTGGTGGGTTTGGTACCACCATACCCTACACCATCTACCACGTAGTATCTCCGTTTCATTGGGGATCTGCCAAGAGACTCGCGAAAGTGCGCTTGAGGTTGTCATCTGAGCAATCCTCATGAGAGAAGGACGTGGTGGTTTCGCTGCATCACTAAGTCTTAAGTCTGTGTATTTTATAGGAACCTTGATGTTCAACAATATCTCTCTATATATATAGACACATATACGTAGTATGTCATGACTGATATATCATGATATATCTATAATATATCATAAGTCTGACAGCCAGTTTGTCCCATGTCATCCTTTGTAATCATCTATCCTGTTGAAAGTTTCAAAGGCCCCCACCTGCCGGTTGATGCGCAACCCCTTCCGAAAGATGCGAAAGAAACCCACTTGATCTGAGCCGCGGATCACGCTTCGGGGTCCAGGGTCCGGAGATAGCGGATCGGAATGGAATAAACGCTTACACATGTCTAAATGGTTGGTAATTGCCTCAATTCATGTCATTTCATGACATGTTGTAAATGGTGTAAACGCACCTCATTGTTTTCACTGTCCAACTGTTCTATGTAAGACTACGTATGTTAAGGGCGCAAAAAAAAAGGTATGTTGGGCCTAGCGGGTCATGTCCCTTTTGGTCCCAGTCCATCAGCTGTCAAAAAATATGTTTGCGATTCTTGTTGTTGTGTAAGTCTAAATGCAAAGTGGGGTAGTCTATACACGTCCAGTTTCGGCAGAAACACATCTGGTTAGGTGCACATGTGTGTGGATCAACGAAAAAAAGGTCATCGTCGTCAGCAGTAACAACATCAACGTCCTCTCCTTGTCATAATAGTAATAATAATCGTCATCATCACCATCATCATCATCATCATCAACCTTCCTGGGTTCCCCTGCCAACAGTGTCACTCGCCTGAACATGATGCTAACTGCCCATCGGACAGCTGGCACCCAAAGTGCCAAAACTCAACATGGGTTTGTCTCAAAATCATGGGGAAAAAACAAATCCCCTGACTTATCAGCATGCTATTCCCAATTAAGATATGAGATTTTGGGGGTATTCCTCATGTTCAGACCATCTTCCACGAATGAACGTCGACATCGATCCGGGTGATAAACCTAATGTGATCCTTTTGAAGGGATTTGCAAAGGTTTACCTTTGGTGAGTTGGGATCTGAAATAACCAGGGTCACAGCCCGGAACGTGGAAACGTTGGTCCGTTGGTCCAGTGCATGTCAATGTTGGTTTGAATACAATCATCTGTTTGGTGGTTTCAACCCCTCTGAAAAATATTCGTCAGTTGGGACTATTATTCCCAATATATGGAAAAGTAAAAAATGGTGCACATATTGAGGTCTGCACTAATGTGGTAAACCAAATGCCAAAAGCAAAGCATTTGCTGGTCATTTTACATCATCCCAAGGGGTAGACCGGTAGACCCAATGACCCAAGTGCCACCTCGGCTCTGACCCTGTCTTCGACCTGGCTTCCAGTGGAGCATCCCCAGTTCCACCATGATTGGATGTAACCCGACTATGAAATTCAGTGGAAGCCCTGTCCAACACAAGAGTTTCTTGAGGAACAAACCATGAATACAACACAACCGCTGTATATTAGTGTATGTGTATATATATATATAAATTACACGTGCGACTGAAAAATAACATGCGCCTTCTAAAAAACATCCCGGCAAGAGACCCCAAACAGTGTGTAGTTTGGATCCTAAAGGGAAAGGTTGAAAGGACCCAAAAACATATAAACATCAGTGGCTCCCAGCTGGCAGGACAAGAGCGACCCTAGTAGTGAAAGCATGGTGTTTATTGTCAAGGCGGTCTCTGGAAGGAGAGATACCAGGTTAGATTCCGCAAGTTCCTTTGCGAAGATCTCTGTAGGATATTGTGCGCAAGATTTTCCTTACAGGTTTTCTGGAGAAGCTGCTGTGCAAGATCCCTTTGTAAGGCTATCTGTACAAGGCGTCTAAAAGAGATCTCCACAGAAGATCTGAGTAAGAGATCTCAAAGCAAAATCCCTTGTCAAGCTATCTGTAAAAGGTCTCTGAGCAAGATCTCTGTTCTCTTCACCAGGTCTCTGCACAAGATCTGTTTAAGAGGTCTCCTGGCAAGATCTCTATAAGAGACCTCTTGGCAAGATCACTACACAGATCTCTATAAGACGCCTCTTGGCAAGATCTCTGTGCAAGCTCCCTATAAGAGATCTCTTGGCAAGATCTCGTGAAGAGATCTCTGTAGAAGCTCTCTATAAGAGCTCTCTTGGCAAGATCTATGTAAGAGACCTCTTGGCAAGAATTTGGCAGGATCTCTGTACAAGATCTCCACAAGAGGTCTCTTGGCGAGATCTCTTTATGAGGTCTCTGTAGAAGCTGTCTATAAGAGCTCTGTTGGCAAGATCTCTGCAAGGGACCTCTTGGCAAGATCTCAACAGACCTCCATGCAATGTCTCTGTACAAGATCTCTATAAGAGGTCTCTTGGCAAGCTCCCTGGACAAGCTCCCTATAATAGGTCCCTTGGCATGATCTGTTTCAGAGATCTCTGCACAAGCTCTCTATAAGAGCTGTCTTGGCAAGATCTCGGGAAGAGACCTCTTGGCAAGATCTTTGTACAAGATCTCTATCAGAGGTCTCTTGGCAAGATCTCTGTACAAGCTCCCTATAAGAGGTCTCTTGGCAAGATCCCTTGAAGAGATCTCTGCAGAAGTTTGTATAAGAGCTCTGTTGGCAAGATCTCTGTAAGAGACCTCTTGGCAAGATCTCTTGACAAGATCTCTATGAAGGCTCTCTGTACAAGATCTCTATAAGAGGTCTCCGGGGCAAGATCTCCAATCTCTCTATAAAAGACCCCCTTGTCAAGATCTCTGCACAAGATCTCCTTAGTCTTTGACTATCAAAATGAACACCGCGCCACAACGAGAGCGATCTGAGGCCCAAAGTGACGAGAGGGTTGCGCGAGAGGTCTCCCGGCAACCGTTTCGTGCGAGACTGCCCGTCAAAAACGGAAGATGAAGGACCTTTTGTGCTGTAAGGGTCACCAAATCTGCCGGACACGGATGAGAACACCTCGAATAAACACCCGGCCTTACAGTAACCCCTACCGTAAGAACCCCAAGTGTGGCCACATTTTTTGACAACCCCATAAATCCAGATGCTGGGCGCTGTGCTTCGATTCAATTTCTTTAGGGCTTTAAAAAGAGAACATAGAATTCATAGCGATATATAGTGATTAATAGTTAATATGTTATAATATGTTAATATCACCACTAATCTTTGGCCTCCTAGCCAGTACAAACATCATGTCACCATTTCGCTTCACACCACCCACCTGGCAGGGTTTCAACCCAAGGCGTCGCAAGGATGTGCGCACGGCGCGGCCAACCTAGAGCTGATCTCCTAGGATCTGGAAGAAAACTAGCGAAAACATCGGGATGTAAAGCATTGTAAAGCTATTGGAAGATGGGATGCAGCCAATCCGAACCACGTTTGATCTGATGAATCTGAAGGTGTTAGATTTGATCTGATTTGACCACAAAATTGACAAGAGTCAACATTCAACCATCCAAAATCATCCCAAGTACTTGGCAAATATTGGGATGTATCTAAAACTCGTAACAGGTGGGAAAATGTCGGTGGCTGCCATCGTCCAATTGGCAGTTTCCTGGCCACAGTCTTCAATATATCATGAAAAACCGTCAAGAGGTTCAGCATCAATTCATCAATTCGACCATTCATCATCATACCCTCTGGTAAATTAACATAGACCCTGAAAATCACCATTTTTTGGAGGAAACTAATCTTCCAACCCCTATCTACCAGGGTCTATGTTGATTTACTGGAGGTTATATTTAAATGACTGGTGGGTTCTCAATGGTCCCGCAGTTTTAAGTCAGCCATGTGGCGGCATGAATTGGGTCATACTTGGCTGGGTGCTATTCCCAAGCTCGAAGGGATACGGGGTCATGGTTGGTTCTCTTTCAAGGTTCCATTCCAACCTGGTTTGATAAAAAGATCCACCCTGCACTAGAGATGATTCTCCTATTTGGGCTTGTCTCGAAATAGGGTCTGGTGAATCATCGTGTTCCCTATAAAAATTGCCATAAGTTGGAGACTATACGTACCCGGGACGTACCCCATTGTCAGTCTGATTGTCAGACAAAAAAACAATATCAAGTTGGTGGTTACTGCATATATTCCATCGGATCTGATATTATGTCCTCATTATATCCCCATGATTTTCCTCATGATTCATGCCATTTGGGCCCTTAATTGCCCATTTTCAGGGCCACGTGAGCTGTTTGGTCAAACCCGATGTCATTCCTACCATTCAGGTTGCTGTTTGGTCACGGCTTTTTATAGGGTTTTCCCATCATGGACTGTGATAATCTCCAATAATGTTGGTAAAGCAATAAACCACCTATATCTTGATGTACCAGCCATAAAAATTCTAAGTGATTGGGGATGGTGGATCCTATTGCTTTACTAACATTAGATTGGGTAGTATCATCCCTAATATCCCCTATCATCAAACAATACTTAGCGGTCACTCAGCCATCGGGCCTCAGCCATCACCTGACACAGAAAGAACCAATTTCTGGGTCGGTGGTTTCAATCATTGGTGGAAGAAGAATTGCTTCCGGAAACCATGGGCTTTCTTTACTGCCGGAAACCATGTGCTTTCTTTACTGATTAAAATCGAAGGCGTGCCTATCGTTTTTTTTCTTGGAACCCTTCTGGGATTTTAGCAAATCACTGGAAACACTGCCTTTGTCACCTGCGATATAGAAGTCAACAAAAAATGTAAAAGAATCAAACCATCATGCTTTTTGGATCCCCTTGGAATCTTGGAAATCTGGTGGTTTTGGGGGTTGGAAATGTTCGGCGTTCCAGAGGATTCCAGAGGACACGCTGAACACATGTCCGACGGCAATGTAGTCGACCTAATAATTCATCCCATTCACAAACCATTGGGGTCATTTTACATACCCTCGGGTAAACTAACATAACTATGGAAAATCACAATTTTTAATGGGAAAACTCACTATTTCAATGGCAATTTTCAATAGCAAACTGTTAGTTTGCCAGAGGGTATTCCACATAGGAATTCTCCTAATTGGTTCATCCCACCCTTCAACCGCTTGGATGGAAAGATATGGAGCCTGATCGATCAGCCGGTTGTCTCGAAGCTTCCCCTGGGACACAAAGGACAGCCACTCCTGCGGCAGCCCCCTGATTTTCAAGCAGATGCATCCAACAATGCATCCAACAAATGTGGGATTTGACATTTTCCTGGACAATTGGGTAGCTTCTGAATGAATGGATTCCTCAAATTCCTCCAATGGGTCGATTTCACATATGTCTTGGCCAAAAACCTCGATCTATGGAGGCAGGCCGCTGAGTCCATTGAGATCATCCCACAATTTACCATACGCTTCAAAATCCGGGCATCCTGGTGAACACCAAGGAAACGATATGAAACCCATATATCAGCGCGAATATTCCATTATATATATATATATTTATAGTTTATATATTATTATTATTGTTATTATTATTATTATTATTTTATATATATATATATTAAATTATATTAAATGATATTATATTATATTATATATATGATATATATATATATATAATATATTATATTATATATTATATATATATATTATATTATATATAATATATATAATATATAATATATATTATATTATATATAATATATATATAATATATAATATATATTATATATAATATATATAATATATTATATTATATTATATTATATATATAATATATATATTATATATAATATATATTATATAATATATATATATATATTATATATTATATATTAAAATATAATATTATATATATGTATTATATCATATATATATATATTATTATATTATATTATATTATATTATATTATATATTATATATTACAATATAATATTATATATATGTATTATATCATATATATATATATTATATTATATTATATTATGTTATATTATATTATATTATATTATATTATATATATATTATATATATTTATATATTATATTATATATATTATATATATTTATATATTATATTATATATATTATATTATATATTTACACAACTGCGATGAACTGTGATATTCATTTAGCTGTTCTCCTCCATTCTGTCCCAGGTCAGTACCCATTCCCGTCATGCCAATCAACGACTTGATCGTCGTTCTCATCCAGGTGTGAGTAGAAGTCCCTGCCGCACCCGGGCCGCATCAGTTGATCCAAAAAATTGGAGCCTCAAATGGAAAATCCTGACCTACAGTAACATACCCTCTGGTAAACTAACATAACTATGGAAAGATCCACCATTTTTAATGGGAAAATCCACTATTTCTATGGTCATTTTCAATAGCTATGTTAAATTACCAGAGGGTACCCTGTATAATCCTGATTTCCATTTATGCACATTTACTATTCAATGGTTTAGAAATATCATCCTCACTATCGAAATGCCCCAATTGGGTAGGTGTAAAATCCCCGATGTTGTCTGACAGACCCATGCAAGTGTGGATAATAATTGTGGATAAACAACATGATTCATCAGATTATTTTGGAGATGTGTCCTATCCTATTCCCCAAATGGATTATATACAGTAATTAAACAAACATAAACATGGATCACATTGGGACTGTATACTGTATATAGATAGGTCACTTGGTACGACGTAAGCCTAGCGGTAGTAGTTCAGAAGCAATCCAGCAGCAGTTTGGCAGTAGCCAGCGGCAGCAACTGAGCAACAGCCAGCAATTGAACAGCAGTTTAACAGTAGTTGCTGAATACAGTTGAACGTACAGAAGTCACTGATAAGAAAGCAGCTGCAACAAAAAAAGTTTCCCCCCAACTGAACGCAACAAAAACTACATATACCCTAAGCATAACTAGATACCTAAACCCAAGCTGAACGCAAGAAAAAACACAAAAACACTTAAAAACATGGTTGCGCTGTGCTCACCAGAGTTTGCTTGCGTTTTGCAAAAAGGCACGACTTCCAGGGAAAGCTTCGTTGCAACTAAATATATAGACATTTCTTTAAAAAAGGAACGACTTTGTCAAAAAGGTGTATAACATCCACTGGTTGTCTTCGACCCATCCCAAATAGAAGACCCAGTTCTATTCAACTGGATTGCTCATCACAAGGCATGAGAATGTCAGGCGAGAAGACCTACCTTTTGGATCCAAAATTGACCGGTTGAAAGGATCTGGCCATGGCCCAAAATCTCGAACCCATTAGGATTCCCGTTATAATCATTTTGCACAAATAAATGCTGGCTCATATATGGTGGATATATGGACCCCACTTCATTGTAGCACATCTGGTATCGTTTTTACCGAAAATGCTAGCTGAGAGAGCCCACGATGAACACCAGGAATACGAGTACTAAAATTGAACAGAACCCGATAGCGCCCTACAACAAAACCAATTGAAAGAGATCTTCTTCCCGGGGTAAAAACCCTTCCTGGATTTTTTTTGACAAACAGACTCACTCCTCAGCAAAAGCTAGACAAAGCTATTTCTGAAAAACCAGAGAAAAGAAAAAGATGCTGGAACAAAAACTAGAAAAAACATGGAAAAACATGCTTTTGCGGAATTCCTGATGATAATCCACCTCAAAATCACCAAAAATCCACTCAAAAAATGGGAATCACCTGCCAACTCAGGATTTTGGTCGCCCCTTCGGCCTCAATTCCACCTTTGTCAGGGTACGTTCTGCCTTTTTCAGTGGACCAAGACGGCAACAAACTGGGAGTTTAGTCTGAAAATGTTGGGAAAAACCCAAAGTCCAATGATTTCTCACGGTTGTTCATCATGCTTGCAATCAATCGAAAAAAATATGCTCAGATTCATTGGTTAGCCAACGAACATAGAGATGTCACCAATCAATGTGAGGATTGAGGCAATTCAGCTTTATTAGTCAAAGCACATTGGAATTCCAAGGAGATGAGGAATCTGACAGCATAGATTCATCCAACGTGACGCTTGAAAACGGATACCGGGGAAAGTAAGAATCTGGTAGTTTCCAGGTTGTTTTGTATTTCAAAATCAGACGCAACAGAGCTGTACATGTACAGAAAACAACAATTGTCCATACCATCCCTACCGATACGTATCCATTCAATACAGATTGCAATGCCATTCATAAGATCACGAAGCAGCAAGTTGAAAAAGCTGGGCTACCAAGGTAGCCTGGAGCTTACAGCGGCCGAAAGTTTGAGGCTTGACATCTTTGTTGAGAGGATGACAGCTAAGATCATTCACTGTCAACATCAAGCAGCCAAAAGCAGCTGTACTACTTCTCAGCACTTTTCAAACGCTTCAAAGATGTTAACCTATCCGCATAAGGCACTCTTCACAATCAGATTAACATCTCCACCGCATTTTGAAGATTATATCAGCAACCCAGCATAATTATCATAACCCAGCAAGATCAGAAAGGAAAGAAGACTTCCTAAAGATTCTTTTTCAGTGTCTCGCAACCTGCCACCTGCAGCAGCCCTGCTGCCCGGAGATTTTCAGGTCCCCGGACGATTTTCAAATCGTTCCGAACCACTTCGGTGATTTCCTCGAAATCCCTCGGTGGAAGCAGACGGTCGTCATGGTCGTCAACGCGGAACCTATGAAGGTCTTCGGTCTTCAGGGTGGAAGGGCCCGAGTTGCAAGTTGCTGGCCCAAATTGTGAACACAACAAATAACCTTCTTGTCTTGTGAAAGCATAAAGCAGCGTGCTGTGCCCCAGTCCTCTGTCCTGGAAAAGAGCTGCATCTTCGAAAACTGCCAGACTACTGGTGTCACTAAAATGGTGCAGCATGTCAACCCAGGGCTGCAAAAGAAACTGTTCAAATCAACAGCTCAACATCTATAATCTTCACTTCTTGAGCCACCTGAAGCATGTCGAATGTTGCCGTAACTACTTGATGTGCATCACTATCTATAGAACTGGGTGTTATAATGTGCAATAACCGTAGTTCCAAGCGCTAAACAAAGATCTTCTGAACGGCATTAAATTCCGGTATATCCGACCGAGGAGACCTAGAAAAAATCACAGCTATTCCTGCGGCGGTGGCGGATCATGCCATTTCGTATCATCAATATGTATGTATATATATTAGTGTTTATATATGTGTATGTGTATGTATATATATATATATAGTAGTGTTTATGTATATGTATGTGTATATATATATATCATGTGTAATTATATATAGGATATTATGCACATTGAATTTCGTTGACTGCCCCCAGCATAGCTACAATAAGGAGATCAAGAATGAAGCGAAAATGAAGGCCCAAGGTTGCAATGTTCCAGCTGTTTAAGAGCCCAGTTCAGACCCATTTCCAGATGAGATACCCCCAAATCAGCAAGTCAACGGGAAAGAAATTCACAAATGACATGTTTGAATAATCTCACCCTCGACACAGGGGAACCATGGCCATTCATGACCCTGCATATGGCATCATATGGCCAATTTCAGGTATTTCACGGGATATGTTTTTCCATATTTGGTAGAGACAGGACCTCCCCAACTGAGGTTTACTCAGTCCAACTAAGAGTCCAACAGGGCACCGGAATTGTCCACATCGTATCTGAGCAGCGCAGGACTTGCTCAGAGAGGCATGTTTTTCTGCACCAGAGGAGCGTTGATGAATTTGAGTCGGGAAAGCATCCATTTGGGAACACCGTAGGCCCTAAATGAATTGAACCCCGAAAAACGGATAGAAAATGTAGGTCTTGGAGATTCTTGGAGGCCCGGGATGTGGGCAATGGTCCCAGGTGGTACTCAATCCTGTGGCTGCACTGACCATGTGTGGTGGGAAACCATACAACTGGGGGATCCACACAGTGGTTGATGCGTGGGGATGGTTTACTATTTTGGATCCCACACATTCACAGGTGGCCTGACCAAAACACACTCAGGTGACCTACAATTGGGCCTCCCAAAACAAGCCCTGGCCTGTCGAAGACTGTCTTCCAGAATTTCATCTGGCAGGGCGGTCTGAGACCCTAGTGTTGGGGGCTGCTTTGTTGGGTAAGAAAATGGGTATGACCATGAGCCATGTTGGGATTTGGGGCTCCTCTGACTATGGAAATATAGTGAAATATCTACAAATATATGTACCAGCCCCTCCAACCCCCCCCACATCCCCCCCGCATCCCCCCTGTGGTGGGGTATGTGGTGGGGTATGTATGTATGTATGTATGTATGCATGCATGCATGCATGTATGTATGTAGGTACGTACGTACGTACGTATGTACGTACGTACGTACGTACGTATGTACGTACGTACGTACGTACGCATGTATGTATGTATGATTATGTATGTATGTATGTATGTATGTATGTATGTATGTATGTATGTATGTATGTATGTCGGTCGGTCGGTCGGTCGGCCGGCCGGTCGGTAGGAATCTGTATGTTTGCATGTGTGTGTGTGTGTATGTGTGTATGTAGGTATGTGTGTATGTGTGTATGTGTGTATGTAGGTATGTAGGTATGTAGGTATGTAGGTATGTAGGTATGTAGGTATGTAGGTATGTAGGTATGTAGGTATGTAGGTAGGTAGGTAGGTATGTATATGTGTTTATGTATGTATGTGGGTAGGCAGGTATGTACGACGCTGTGCATGCATGTAGGTAGGTATTGGTGTATGATGGTGTATGTATCTAGGTAATTAGGTATCCATGTATGTATGAATGCATGTGTACATGTATGTATGAAGGTAGGTATGTAAGAATGAGTGTAGGTAGGTGTATGTCTATATGTATGTACGCATGTATGTAGGTAGGCAGGTATGTATGTAGGTAGGGATGCATATATGTGTCTTTGTATG